GAGGGACAAAGGGAAAGGACACAGGGACAGAGGGAAGGGACAGCGATGCAGGGAGGGGACAGGGACATGGGGGACACAGGGACAGGGACCCAGGGAAGGGACAGGGACATGGGGGAGGAACACAGGGACAGGGACACAAGGAAGACACAGGAATGGGACAGGGACACGGGGAGGGGACAGGGACACAGGGACAGGGACACAGGGAAGGGACAGGAGCCAGGCAGGGAACGAGTCCCGCAGGGACAGGGACAGGAACAGGGACACAGGGAAAGGACACAGGGACAGAGGGAAGGGACAGGGATGCTGGGATGGGACAGGGACACGGGAAAGGAACACGGACACAGGGAGGGGACCCAGGGAAGGGACAGAGGGAAGGGGCAAAGAGAAGGGACACAGGAACAGAGACGGGCCACAGGGAAGGGACAAGGACACAGGGACATGGGAAGGGACATGGACACAGGAACAGGGACACAAGGAAGGGACCAAGGGACACAGAGAGGGGACCCAGGGAAGGGACAGGGACAGAGGGAAGGGACACAGGGACAGAGGGAAGGGACAGCGATGCAGGGAGGGGACAGGGACACAGGGACAGGGACACAGGGAAGGGACAGGAATGGGACAGGGACACGGGGACAGGGACACGGGGACAGGGACACGGGGACAGGGACACGCGGAGCCCTCCAGGCCCATTCCGGCTCTCAGGAGCTTCACGCGTTATTTGGTACCAACAATGGGACTTCAGGAATAACAATGGGACCTTGGGAACAACAATGGGACTTTGGGGATAATACCGGGACTTTGGGAACAACAATGGCCCTCGGGAGGGACGAGGTGCCCCCGCCCCGAGCCGCTTCGCTCGGTGTCCCCTTGTCCCTCCCCGGGGATCCCGCCCTCCCTCCTCCCATGTTTAGGGCGTTCTCCACACGGAAAACCCCAAGGGAAAGAAGAGGGGCGGGTTTAAAGGCCCGGGAGCTTTGGGGTCGTTCCCTGCCCCGCTCCCCTCCCTCACTGTCCCTAAAGCACCTGGAGAAGGCAAAGGGATTTTTGTCAGGGCAGGAAACCCCAAACCCCAGCGTGGGGTGGGGACTCCAGGCTGAGGATCCCAAAGGAATCGCTCCCAGAGTGGGATGGAAAATCCCTTTGGGTTTTCTCCTCTGGAGCCACAGAAAGGTCTGGGGGGATAATTTGGGGTTAATTCCCCCTCAGGAGACGGCACCGAGTTCTGCCTCCTCTGGCTGAACCCTGCAAATCCTTGGGATCCCTGGGATCTGTGGGATGGAGGATCCGTGGTATGTGGGATCTCTGGGATTTGAGACTGACATTTGGGATCTCTGGAATGTGGGATCTCTGGGATTTGAGACTGATGAGCCTCTGGAGCCACAGAAAGGTCTGGGGGGATAATTTGGGGTTAATTCCCCCTCAGGAGACGGCACCGAGTTCTGCCTCCTCTGGCTGAACCCTGCAAATCCTTGGGATCCCTGGGATCTGTGGGATGGAGGATCCGTGGTATATGGGATCTCTGGGATTTGAGACTGACATTTGGGATCTCTGGGATTTGGGATCCCTGAGCTATGGGATCTCTGGAATGTGGGATTCCTGGGATGTGAGATCTCCAGGATTCAGGATCTCTGAAATGTGGGATCTCTAGAATGTGGGATTTGCAATCTGTGAGATTTGGGATCTCTGGAATGTGGGATTCCTGGGATGTGAGATCTCCAGGATTCAGGATCTCTGAAATGTGGGATCTCTAGAATGTGGGATTTGCAATCTGTGAGATTTGGGATCTCTGGAATGTGGGATCCCTGGGATATGTGGGATGGGAGATCTCTGGGATTTGGGATCCATGGGATGTGGGATCTCCGGGATTTAGGATCCCTGAAATGTGGGATCTGTGGGATTTGGGATCCATGGGATGTGGGATCTCCGGGATTTAGGATCCCTGAAATGTGGGATCTGTGGGATTTGGGATCCATGGGATGTGGGATCTCCGGGATTTAGGATCCCTGAAATGTGGGATCTGTGGGATTTGGGATCCATGGGATGTGGGATCTCCGGGATTTAGGATCTCTGAAATGTGGGATCTGTGGGATTTGGGATCTTGGGATTTGGGATCCCTGGGATGTGGATTCCATGCCATGTGGGATCTCTGGGATTTTGGATCCCTGGGACTTTGTATCCCTGAGATCTGTGATCTCTGGGATATGGGATCCATGGGATGGGAGATCTCTGGGATATGGGATCCATGGGATGTGGGTGGGATGAAGGAGGAAGAAAAAGCAAAAGAAGCCCCCAGACCCCAATTCTCACGAGCTGGGTGTGAAACCCTTCTCAGGGACAGCCCCAAATCCCAAACCACCAAACCCAGGGAATTCAGAGTGGGGAATGTGGGAAATCTGCCCTGCTCCAGGCACAGTTCACTCAGTTACCACATCCACCAGGTGACAATGCCAATGCCACCTCCAGATGGGACAGTGACACCAGGGGACACAAAGAAATCCTGGGGCAGCAGGAATGGCCTGGCCATGGCTGGGGATTAAATCTGGCTGGATTTTGGGTTCCTTCCCACCCAGACCAGCCTGGAACTCTCTGATCCTCCCTCCACTGAAAGGAAATTTTATTTTATGAACAATTTGGGGAATGTGGGAAATCTGCCCTGCTCCAGGCACAGTTCACATCCACCAGGTGACAATGCCACCTCCAGAGGGGACAGTGACACCAGGGGACACAAAGAAATCCTGGGGCAGCAGGAATGGCCTGGCCATGGCTGGGGATTAAATCTGGCTGGATTTTGGGTTCCTTCCCACCCAGACCAGCCTGGAACTCTCTGATCCTCCCTCCACTGAAAGGAAATTTTATTTTATGAACAATTTCTCCTCCAAAGTTTTAGAAGTTTTTTTTTCTCACCTTGATTTTGTTTTGTTCTCCAATTTTTGTGCAAATTTTAATTCTTTCCTGATTTTTCCCCCTATTTTTTTTCCTGATTTTAAGTTTTTCCTGATTTTTTCCCCCCAATTTTATCCACTTGGGAAAAGTGAAACTGAGAAAAAAAGTGACAGAAATAAATCCCTGGAAAAGCAGCCTGGGGCAGCAGGAATGGCCTGGCCATGGATGGGGATTAAATCTGGCTGGATTTTGGGTTCCTTCCCACCCAGACCAGCCTGGAATCCTCTGATCCTCCCTCCACTGGAAGGAAATTTTATTTTAGGGCTGAACCACTGCCCCTTCAACTTTTAAAAATTTTTTCCCTTGATTTTATTTTTTTCCTAATTTTTTTCATTATTTTTTACCAATTTTCCCCCCAATTTTATTTTTTTCCTGACTTTATTCTTTTCCTGACTTTTGATGATTTTTTCCACTTATTTTATTTTTTCTGGTTTTTTCCCCCCTAATTTTATTATTTTCTGGATTTTTCCCCGATTTTCCCCTGATTTTATTTTGTTCCATTTCCCCTGATTTTAACTTTTTTCCATTTTTTTCTCTGATTTGATTTTTTCCCTGACTTCATTTTTCCTGATTTTTCCCCAAATTTTTTTTTCTGATTTTTTTTTCCAATTTTCCCCTGATTTCATTTTTTTTCCTGATTTTTTCCCCTGATTTTATCCCACTTTTCTCCCTCTGATTTTATTTTTTCCCTGCTTTTATTACATTTTAATGCCTTTTTTTTCCATTTTTCCCCCTTGCTGGATTGGAGACTCTGGCACTTCTGCCTGGATATTTCCAAGTCCCACAAACCCCTTCCCACAGGATTTTTTTAAAATTTAATCCTGAAATTGGAGATTTGGGCCGATGAGAAGAGGAAATTCAGGCTCTGCCAGGGTCAATTTTGGGATCATTTTTATCAGCCTCGATTTTAAATCCCAATCCCAGCCCTGGATTTTCTCATCCCTCACCCAAAACCAGATTTGGATTTAAACTCTCCCCAAACTTTGATTTTGTCAGCTCCAAAAATATCCTTTACCAAAGGAAAATGTCTGGAATTCTGAAGGTCCAGTGAAAGGTTCTGCTCCAAAATTCTGCCCCAAATCCAGGGAATTCTGACTCCAGCACGTGCTGGGTGGGAGGAGCAGGAGTTCAGCACCCAAATTTAGGTGCAATTCAGCAGCTCCAGCCTAAATTCTCTGTACGAAGGTAAAAAACCACAAAAAACAATTTAAATTATCCAGATTTTTACAAGAATTATGATAAAAAAATGTATCCAGTTCTCCAATAATAAAACCATCCAATTTTCCAGCATTTTCCCACCTTTTAAAAGTTTTCCAGGTGAGGAATTAACAAACAAAACACCCACACCCCAAAGGTTCATAGAAATCCCACTTTTAATCATGGACAAACTGACTTTCAAGTAAAATCAACAGTTTTAAATAAAATATAAATTACCAGAGGACTTGGAAAGACCCTGTGCACGTTCTCCTCTGCTTTTCCAGTTCTCTTCACATTCCTGGAGTTTCTGGGAGGTCTCTCCATGATCATGGAACAGAAATTTGGGATTAAAAGCAGCGACTGGTGCCACTGGGAGGGTGAAAAGGGAGGAAATCCTTTTCTCTTTCCAAGGAAAAAAGGAGGGAGCAGAAGTGATGGAAGCAGTTTTTTATGGAAGCACAGCATTGGATGTGAGGGATTTTCCTTCTCCATCCCAGGAGTGATTCCAGAAGGGAAAATCACCTAAAATGTCCTAAAAGGGGGTGGTTTTTGTTGGTTTTTTTTTGTTGTTTTTTATCCCTGCTTTTGGAACTTCCCATTCTTTGAGACTCCAAAGTGAGAGCAGGGATGGCAATGCTGGAATCCAGCAAGGAAAATCCAAGCTCCTTGTGGGATTTCAGCCTCTCCCAAAGGTGGGAACTCATCCCATCCTCTCCTGCACACCCCCAAGTGCAACATTCCCAGCAAAGTTTGTTATGGAAGCACAGCATTGGATGTGAGGGATTTTCCTTCTCCATCCCAGGAGTGATTCCAGAAGGGAAAATCACCTAAAATGTCCTAAAAGGGGGTGGTTTTTGTTGTTTTTTTTTTTGTTGTTTTTTATCCCTGCTTTTGGAACTTCCCATTCTTTGAGACTCCAAAGTGAGAGCAGGGATGGCAATGCTGGAATCCAGCAAGGAAAATCCAAGCTCCTTGTGGGATTTCAGCCTCTCCCAAAGGTGGGAACTCATCCCATCCTCTCCTGCACACCCCAAGTGCAACATTCCCAGCAAAGTCTTTTTTTTTTTTTTTGGCATTTTTCCCTCACCACCCCAACTCCGCTTCTCCAAAAGGGGCAAAAAAAGGAGGAACCCTGAGGCAAAAATGGCTTTTTTCTGTGTGTGTGTGTGGATGGATCCTCCACCCTGGAGCCTAGCCCGGGATTTTCTGCGGGGGGAGCCCCTCCTGCAGCCAGAGGGGAGGGGAGGGGCCGCTGGGCAGCAGCCGGCGGTGGATGCGGCGCAGGCGGAGCAGGTAGAGCAGGATGGAGAGCAGCACCACCAGGAAGCAGGCCAGGAACAGGTAGTGGTTGTACACAAAGGAGAAGCTCCTCCAGTGGGAGTGAATCCCACGGAAATTCTCCTGCTGGATGTCCCTGGAAAAGAGCACAGGGAAAACGGGGACGTCTTAGAGGCAAAGATTCCACGGCCAGCTTGGGGGAGTCAGAGCTCATTTGGTGGAATAAGAAAAAAACCCAAGTTTGGGCTCTAAAAAGCACAAATTGGGGCTCAAAAAAGCATAATTCCCATCCCCAAAATCCTCTCCCAAAGGCCTTTCTCAGATTTTCGAGAGGATGTCTTTGGAAAAGAGGAGAGGGACAATGGACAGGCTTTGGAGGCAAAATTCCCCTTCCAGCTGGGTTTAGGGTAGGAATCAGAGCCCATCTTGGGGAACAGGATCGAAAACGCACAATTTGAGGCTCTAAAAAGCACAAGTTCCCAACCCCAAAATCCTATCCTAAAGGCTTTTCTCAAATTTTTGAGAGGATGTCCCTGGAAAAGAGCACAGGGAAAACTGGGACATCTTAGAGGTAAAATTCCACTGCCAGCTTAGGGGAGTCAGAGCTCATTTGGTGGAATAAGAAAAAAACCCCAAGTTGGGGCTCTAAAAAGCACAAATTTGGGCTTGAAAAAGTATAATTCCCATCCCCAAAATCCTCTCCCAAAGGCTTTTCCCAGAGTTTTGAGAGGATGTCCCTGGAAAAGAGGAGAGGGACAATGGGCATGTTTTAAGAGGCAAAATTCCACGGCCAGCTTGGGGGAGTCAGAGCTCATTTGGTGGAATAAGAAAAAAAGCACAAGTTTGGGCTCTAAAAAGCACAAATTGGGGCTCAAAAAAGCATAATTCCCATCCCCAATCCTCTCCCAAAGGCTTTTCCCAGATTTTTGAGAGGATGTCCTTGGAAAAGAGGAGAGGGACAACGGGCACGTCTTAGAGGCAAAATTCCACTTCCAGCTGGGCTTAGGGTAGGAATCAGAGCTCATCTTGGGGAACAGGATCTATAAAGTACAATTTGAGGCTCTGAAAAGCACACATTCCCATCCCCAAAATCCTCTCCCAAAGGCTTTTCCCAGATTTTTGGGAGGATGACCCTGGAAAAGATCAGAGCACAATGAGAACGTCTTAGAGGCAAAATTCTGCTTCCAGCTTGGTGGGAATCAGAGCTCATTTGGTGGAATAAGAATAAAAAGCACAAGTTGGGGCTCTAAAAAGCACAAATTCCCATTCCCAAAATCCTCTCCTAAAGGCTTTTCCCAGATTTTTGAGAGGAAGTCCCTGAAAAGAGCAGAGGGACAACGGACAGGCTTTGGAGGCGAAATTCCATTTCCAGCTGGGCTTAGGGTAGGAATCAGAGCCCATTTTAGGGAACAGGATCTATAAAGTACGAGTTGAGGCTCTGAAAAGTACACATTCCCAATCCCAAAATCCTCTCCCAAAGGCTTTTCCCAGATTTTTGAGAGGATGTCCCTGGAAAAGAGCAGAGGGAAAATGGAGGCAAAATTCCTCTTCAGGAATCCAAGCCCATTTTGGGGACGAGGCTCTAAAATCCCCAATTTAAGGGATCACCACCTCTTCCCACGCCACAACTGCCCTTCCCCAAGCTCCCCCAGACTGCAGGGGTACCTGAGGGGCAGGAAGCGGGTCCGGTAGAGGATGGCCCCCAGGGTCCACTGCACCTCCTTGTCGTAGACCTGCAGCGCCGTCTTCAGGCTCCCGTAGCTCTCCGGGAAGGAGAAGCCCCGGTGGAAAACCTCGAACATCCAGGCGGACTTAAAGCACTGGAACCTGGGGAGAGCAGGGGGGTCAGCCAGGAAATGTGGGGTCAGCCAGGAAATGTGGGGTCAGCCAGGAAATGTGGGGTCAGGGACAGTGGGATCAGGCAGGAAACGTGGGATCAGGGGTAGTGGGATCGGCCAGGAAATGAGTAATGGGATCAGGCAGGAGAAATGGGATGAGGGACAGTGGGATCAGTTAGGAAAAGTGGGATCAGGCAGGAGAAATGGGATCAGGGCCAGCGGGGTCAGCCAGGAAATGTGGGGTCAGCAAGGAAATGTGGGGTCAGCCAGGAAATGTGGGGTCAGGGACAGTGGGATCAGCCAGGAGAAATGGGATCAGGGACAGTGGGATCAGGCAGGAACTGTGGGGTCAGCCAGGAAACGACAAATGGGATCAGCCAGGAGAAATGGGATCAGGGACAGTGGGATCAGGCAGGAAACACAGGATCAGGGACAGTCAGAAAACATGGGATCAGCCAGGAAATGTGGGGTCAGGCAGGAAACGTGGCGTCAGGGACAGTGGGATCAGGCAGGAAAAGTGGGATCAGCAAGGAAATGCGGGATCAGGGACAGTGGGATGGATCAGCCAGGAAAAGTGGGATCAGCCAGGAGATATGGGATCAGGGACAGTGGGATCAGGCAGGAAAAATGGGATCAGCCAGGAAACACGGGATCAGGGACAGTGAGATCAGTCAGGGACAGTGGGATCAGTCAGGAACAGTGGTGGGATCAGGGACAGTGGGATCAGGCAGGAAACGTGGCGTCAGGGACAGTGGGATCAGGCAGGAAAAATGGGATCAGCCAGGAAACACGGGATCAGGGACGGTGAGATCAGTCAGGGACAGTGAGATCAGTTAAGGACTTTGGGATCAGTGGGATCACTGAAGGAGAATGGGATAAGCTCAGCTCAGCATTACAGCAAATGCAGGGCATAATTAAACACAAAATTCTCAGCTTTTCCAAGTTTTTTTCCCACTTCCATGAAATGGAAAGGCCCTGGCAGTCCTGGGATTAGCCAGGAACAGTGGGACCAGTTAAGGACATTGGGATCAGTCAGGGAGAATGGGATAAACTCAGCTCAGCATTACAGCAACCACTGGGCACAAGTGGTTGAGCTGAGTTTATCCCTATCAAACAAGGAATTCTCAGCTTTTCCAAGTTTTTTTTCCCACTTCCATGAAATGGAAAGGCCCTGGCAGTTGGGTGGGATTAGCCAGGAACAGTGGGATCAGTCAGGGAGAGTGGGATAAACCCAGCTCAGCATTCCAGTGACCGCGGGGCACAATTAAATATGGAATTCTCAGTTTTTCCAAGGGGTTTTTTCACAATTTTCAGGCCTTTCCCAAGTTTTTTTCCCACTTCCATGAAATGGAAAGGCCCTGGCAGTTGGGGGGGATTAGCCAGAACAGTGGGATCAATCAAGGCGAAGGAGATAAGCTCAGCTCAGCATTCCAGTGACCACGGGCCACAATTAAACACGGAATTCTCAGCTTTTCCAAGATTTTTTCCCACTTCCATGAAATGGAAAGGCCCTGGCAGTTGGGTGGGATTAGCCAGAACAGTGGGATCAATCAAGGAGAAGGAGATAAGCTCAGCTCAGCATTCCAGTGACCACGGGCCACAATTAAACACGGAATTCTCAGCTTTTCCAAGGGGTTTTTTCACAATTTTCAGGCCTTTCCCAAGTTTTTTTCCCACTTCCAGTGATGCACAGGCAGAGAGGCCCTGGCAGGAGGGAGGTCCGGGCCAAGCCAGGGCCAAGCCCGGCCCCGCTCACTTGAGGCGGTGCAGGTCCGCGTGGGGGGCGTAGAGGCCGCGCTCGAAGCGTTCCCGCAGCACCGACCACCGGGTGGCTCTGGGAATATCCAGCAAGGCAACTCCCAAATTTCATGGGAATATTTTAATCCACACTTGGAATTTGGGGTGGAATTAATGTTCTATTTTCTGAGAATATCCAGGATCCCAAATTTTGTGGGAACATTCTAATCTACATTTGGAATTTGGGATGGAATTAATGTTCAACTCTCTGGGAATATCCAGAAGGCAACTCCCAAATTTCATGGGAATATTTTGATCCACACTTGGAATGTGGGGTGGAGTTAATGTTCAACTCTTGGAATTTGGGGTGGAATTAATGTTCAACTGTCTTGGAATATCCTGTAAAGAAAATCCCAAATTTCATGGGAATATTTTGACCCGCATTTGGAATTTGGGGTGGAATTAATGTTAAACTGATCCCTTTTTTTCACCTATGAGCTTTAGCGAATTTAGGAATTTGGGATTTCTTACAGAATTTGAAATTTCTTAAGGAATTTGGGATCTCTTAAGGAATTAAGTTCTGCTGCAGGACTTTGGGAACAAAATCCTTGTGGAGAGATGCTCTAAATTAGGAATTTATCTCCATTTTTCACCAGTGCAGCTTCAGTGAATTTAGGAATTTGGGATCCCTTAGGGCAATCCCTTTTGTTTCAGGACTTTGGGAATGATATCCTTGAGGAGGTTCTAAATTAGAAATGGATCTCTTTTCTTTTACCTGTGCAGCTTCAGTGAATTTATGAATTTAGGATCTCTTAAAGCAATGTTTTGCTGCAGAACTTGGGGAACAAAATCCTTGTGGATGTTCTGAATTAGAAATGGATCTCTTTTCCTTTACCTGCGCAGCTTCAGTGAATTTATGAATTTGGGACCTCTTAAAGCAATGTTTTGCTTCAGGACTTTGGGAATAAAATCCTTATGGAGAGCTGTTTTTAATTAGGAATTGATCTGTTTTTCCACCTGTGCAGCTTTAGTAAATTTATGGATTTAGGATCTCTTAAAGCAATGTTTTGCTTCAGGACTTTGGGAATAAAATCCACATGGAGAGCTATTCTAAATTAGGAACCGATCCCATTTCTGTCACCTTCACAGCTTCAGTGAATTTATGAATTCGGGACCTCTTAAGTGAATTTGGGACCTCTTAAAGCAATGTTTTGCTTCAGGACTTTGGGAATAAAATCCACATGGAGAGCTGTTCTAAATTAGGAACCGATCCCATTTCTGTCACCTTCACAGCTTCAGTGAATTTATGGATTTAGGATCTCTTAAAGCAATGTTTTGCTGCAGAACTTGGGGAACAACACCGTTGCAGATGTTCTAAAGCAGAAAAGGATCCCCTGTCTCTCACCTGCGCGGCCCTGGCGAACCTGGCGGCGCTGTAGTCGCCGCCCATGCGCAGCACGTCCTCGGTGCAGTAGTAGAACTCGGAGAAGCCGTAGAACTCGCTGCTCTGCAGGTGCACGGGCGGCTGGAAGACGCCGTTCAGGGAGCCGCGGGTGCCGTTGGTGCGGTTCAGCAGCGGCTGCAGCCGCTCCCGGCACAGCTGGAAGTCGCCGGTGCCGCGCAGGTGCAGCGTCAGCCCCCGGTGCCGCAGCTCGTCCTGCGCGTCCCGCGGCAGGCACGGGTCAGGGAGAGGGGCCTGCGGGCTGAGCCCGGCCTGCCTGGGCAGGGAGAGAGCAGCTAGGCCCGGCTTAGCAGGGCTCGGGACAGAGATCAGCCAGGCCCGGCTTAGCAGGGCTCGCGACAGAGATCAGCTAGGCCTGGCTTAGCAGGGCTCGGGACAGAGATCAGCTAGGCCCGGCTTAGCAGGGCCGGGGACAGGGAGAGAGATCAGCCAGGCCCAGGACAGGGAGAGAGATGAGCTAGGCCTGGCTCAGCAGGGCTCAGGACAGGGAGAGAGATCAGCTAGGCCCGGCTCAGCAGGGCCCGGGACAGGGAGAGAGATCAGCCAGGCCCGGCTTAGCAGGGCCTGGGACAGGGAGAGAGATCAGCCAGGCCCGGCTCAGCATTGCCCGGCTCAGCATTGCCCAGCTCAGCCCAGCCTGGGACAGGGGCAGAGATCAGCCAAGCCCGGCTTAGCAAGGCCCGGCTCAGCCCACGCTGCCTGCCCAGCAGCCTGGGAACAGGGACAGAGCTCAACAAGGCCCAGCTCAGCAAGGCCCAGCTTACCAAGCCCGGCTTAGCAAGGCCCGGCTCAGCCCACGCTGCCTGCCCAGCAGCCTGGGGGACAGAGAGAGCTCAGCAAGGCCCAGCTCAGCAAGGCCCAGCTTAAATTTCCACTTTTTCAGCTGAACCCGTGACTGCAGTTCCTGAGGAGGAATCCCTCTCCGCTTCCCAGAGTTTCCCTTCCCACACTGAAGTGCTGGGATCTCTCCACAGAACATCCAGGATCATTCCCACCTTTCCAGGGCCACCTCCCACCAGCCCAGGCTGCTCCAAGCTGACCTGGGGCACTTCAGCTTCTCTGGGAATCCCATCCCAGCCCTCACCACCCTCACAGCCAGGAATTCCTTCCATAAATCCAACTTAAATTCCGCCTTTTTCAGCTGAACCCATTCCTCCAATTCCTCAGCCTGAATCCCTCTCCACCTCCCATCTTTTCCCTTCCATAATTCCCATGCCATTCCATCATTCCCACCTTTCCAGGTTGACCTCCCACCAGCCCAGGCTGCTCCAAGCTGACCTTGGACACTTCAGGGATCCAGGAGCAGCCACAGCCCCTCTGGGAATTCCATTCCATCCCCTTCAGCACCCTCACATTGGGAATTCCCTCCCCAAACCCAATCTCTCCCCTTCCCCCACTGAAGTGCTGTGATCTCCCCACAGAACACCCAGGATCATTCCCACCCTTCCAGGGCCACCCCCCACCCCCCCAGGCTGCTCCTCGCTGGCTCTCCCAGCATGGAGCAGCCCTGTCACTATGACATCTTTATCAAAATCCTTTGTTAGGATTTTTCTCCTATTTTAGTTGAGAAACCTCAAAAAAGAAATGCAAACAATAACCATCTGCTGCTGTGGAATGTGCTCTGGACATTGTCTGTCAGGAGATGCACCTTTGACTGGTCCATGTGAGACTTTTACTCAATGACCAATCATGGCCTAGCTGTGTGGGCCCTATGAGTCATGAGCTTTTGTCATTATTCTTATCAACTTATTATTCTTATAGCATGGAGCCGCCCTGTCACTATGACATCTTTATCAAAATCCTTTGTTAGGATTTTTCTCCTATTTTAGTTGAGAAACCTCAAAAAAGAAATGCAAACAATAACCATCTGCTGCTGTGGAATGTGCTCTGGACATTGTTTGTCAGGAGGGGCACCTTTGACTGGTCCATGTGAGACTTTTACTCAATGACCAATCATGGCCTAGCTGTGTGGGCCCTATGAGTCATGAGCTTTTGTCATTATTCTTATCAACTTATTATTCTTATCAACTATCTTACTATTCTTATTCAACTCTCTGCTGCTGTGGAATGTGCTCTGGACATTGTTTATCAACAGGTGATTCTCTGACTGGTCCATGTGAGACTTTTTACTCAATCACCAATCATGGCCTAGCTGTGTGGACTCTTTGAGACTCTTTGAGAGTCTTTGAGACTCTTTGAGAGTCACGAGCTTTTGTCATTATTATTTTTCTTTCTTTTCTAGCTTTTTGATGAATCTTTTCTTTCTATTCTTTTTAGTATAGTTTTAGTATAGCATATAGCATAATGTAATGTAATAGAGCTTTTGTCATTATTCTTATCAACTTATTATTCTTATCAACTATCTTACTATTCTTATTCAACTCTCTGCTGCTGTGGAATGTGCTCTGGACATTGTTTATCAACAGGTGCATCTCTGACTGGTCCATGTGAGACTTTTTGCTTAATGACCAATCATGGCCTAGCTGTGTGGACTCTTTGAGACTCTTTGAGAGTCTTTGAGACTCTTTGAGAGTCACGAGCTTTTGTCATTATTATTTTTCTTTCTTTTCTAGCTTTTTGATGAATCTTTTCTTTCTATTCTTTTTAGTATAGTTTTAGTATAGCATATAATATAATGTAATGTAATATAATGTAATGTAATGTAATATATGTAATATAGTGTAATATAGCGTAATATAGTGTAATGTAATGTAATATAATGTAATGTAATGTAATATATGTAATATAGTGTAATATAGCGTAATATAGTGTAATGTAATGTAATATAATGTAATGTAATGCAATGTAATGCAATGCAATGTAATGCAATGTAATGTAATGTAATGCAATGCAATGTAATGCAATGTAATATAATGTAATGTAATGCAATGTAATGCAATGCAATGCAATGCAATGCAATGCAATGTAATGCAATGCAATGCAATGCAATGTAATGCAATGTAATGCAATGTAATGCAATGCAATGTAATGCAATGTAATGTAATGCAATGTAATGTAATGCAATGTAATGCAATGTAATGCAATGTAATGTAATGTAATGCAATGCAATGTAATGCAATGTAATATAATGTAATGTAATGCAATGTAATGCAATGCAATGCAATGCAATGCAATGCAATGTAATGCAATGCAATGCAATGCAATGTAATGCAATGCAATGCAATGCAATGCAATGTAATGCAATGTAATGCAATGTAATGCAATGCAATGCAATGTAATGCAATGCAATGCAATGTAATGTAATGCAATGTAATGCAATGTAATGTAATGTAATGCAATGTAATGTAATGTAATGTAATGTAATGTATATATAATATAACATAATGTAATATAACATATCAACCTTCTGGAACAGACTCAAGGTCCTCATCTCCTCGCTCATCCCAGAACCCTGGCAGCCAGGCGTGCAGCCCCACCCCAGGGAGCCAGGTACCTGTTCCTGAGGAGGCTGCTGGCCAGCAGGCTCTCCTCGTACCTCGCCCGCGCCGCGTTGCCGCCGAAGCCCAGGAAGGTGGCCACGTACACGCGGTACACGTGCTCCGTCTGGTGGGCATCGCAGCCCAGGTTCACCTCTGCCAGCAGGCTCTTGGCCACCTCCTCCTGCAGCAGCAAAACAGGGATCACTGGGATCATCCTGATCCTAAAACGAATTGTTTGGGATGTCTCAGACACCTTTAAGTTCACCCCTCACTCATCTCTTTCAAGCTTCCCTCTCCTGTCTGTGTGTCCTGCACTCTGCATAAAGGATATTCCCACAGGATTGTGGAGGTGTTCTGCTTGGAAAAGATCTTGAAGGTCATCAACCCAACAGCAAAATCAGGAATCACTGGGATGATCCCGATCCAAAAATGAATTGTTTGGGATGTCTTGGAGGCCTTTAAGTTCACCCCTCACTCATCTCTTCAGTGCTTTCCTCTCCTGTCTGTGCTTCCTGCATCCTGATCCAGCAAAATCAGGAATCACTGGGATGATCCTGACCCCAAAATGAATTGTTTGGGATGTCTTGGAGGCCTTTAATTTCACCCCTCACTCATCTCTTTAGTGCTTCCCTCTCCTGTCTGTGTGTCCTGCACTCTGCATAAAGGATATTCCCACAGGACTGTGGAGGTGATCTGGTTGGAAAAGATCTTGAAGATCATCAAGACCTTTAAGTTCACCCCTCACTCATCTCTTCAGTGCTTTCCTCTCCTGTCTGTGCTTCCTGCATCCTGATCCAGCAAAATCAGGAATCACTGGGATGATCCTGACCCAAAAATGAATTGTTTGGGATGTCTTGGACACCTTTTACTTCACCCATCTTTCATGCTTTCCTCTCCTGTCTGTGTGTCCTGCACTCTGGACAAAGGATATTCCCATGGTATTGTTGAAAAAGATCTTGAAGATCATCAATCCAACAGCAAAATCAGGAATCATTGGCATGGTCCTGATCCAAAAATGAATTTTTTGGGATGTTTTGAAGGCCTTTAATTTCACCCCTCACTCATCTCTTTCAAGCTTTCCTCTCCTGTCTGTGTGTCCTGCACTCTGGACAAAGGATATTCCCATGGCATTGTTGGAAAAGATCTCGAAGATCATCAACCCAACAGCAAAATCAGGAATCAATGGGATGGTCCTGATCCCAAAATGAATTGTTTCGGATGTCTTGGACACCTTTAATTTCATCCATCTTTAGTGCTTTCCTCTCTGTCTGTGTGTCCTGCACTCTGGATAAAGGATATTCCCACAGGATTCTAGGAAAAGATCTTGAAGATCATCAGCAAAATCAGGAATCATTGGGATGGTTCTGATCCTAAAATGAATTTTTTGGGATGTCTCAGACACCTTTAATTTCACCCCTCACTCATCCCTTTAGCACTCCCCTCTCCTGTCTGTGTGTCCTGCACTCTGCATAAAGGATATTCCCACAGGATTGTAGATTTGTTCTGCTTGGAAAAGACCTTGAAGATCATCAGTCCCAGAGTCCTGAAGTGCCACACCCGTGGTTTTTGGATATTCCCAGGAATGAGAACTCCACACTGCCCTGGGCAGCTTTTCCAATTCTTTCCAGCCCTTGATAATCAGTTATTTGAGGAGTTTTCCTCAGGGATGATCATCTCCCACATTATTAGGAAAATCCAAGATTATTTCAGAGGGAGAGCAAAAGAAAAGAATTTTCCTTGGGAATTATCATCTCTCCCATATTTTTTGTTTAAAAAAAACAGGATTACTTCACAGGGAGAGCAAAAAAACCGAGTTTTCCTCAGCAAGGATCATCTCTCCCATTTTATTTGGAAAATCCAAGATCATTTCACAGGGAGAACAAAATAAAAGACTTTTCCTTGGGAATGGTCATTTCCCACATCATTTTGAAAAAGATCACTTCACAGGGACAGCAAAATCTTGGAATTTCAAATTCCTGGCCCTGCAAAGCCCAGAATTGCTTCTGTGGAGCCTGGAATTTTCTTCTCCCATGGAAAAATGTGGATTGTGGCTGCTGAATTCAGTGCTTCACTTCCCCCCTCATTCCTGATTCCCAGGAGAGATTCCATGACCAAAATTCCCATTTTCTATCCATTTATGCTCAGATAAACCCCCCCCCACAGGCAGGAATTTTCATCCCTGGTTTCCCAGCTGATATTTGACTGGAGCTGCTCTGGAGCCAAATGTCTCAATTTTAATAATTCCAAATATTTTCTTACACCCTTTGTTAATTAAAACAGAGAAATTAGGGAATTAATTAGGGAAACGTCATTCCACAGGATTTAAAAACTCAATTTATCCATTATTAGAACAGAGCCAAACATAGGGATTTGATGCTGTTTTTCCTTCAGATAATTCCCAATTAATTTCATGGGAAGTTCAGCTTGAAAAACTCAGGAATTGTTCCAGAGCTCAGTGGAATTGGAGCAATTTATGTTCAGTTTGGGACAAAGCAATTCTGTGACATTTAGAACTAATTCCATTTCTGGTAAAAATTAAGGAAAAAGTAATTTTTATGGGAAGTTTTACTTAGGAACCACCAGGAATTTTTGGGTTTTAAGCCCCAGGAGGCAAATTTTGGAACGTAAGGGATTTAAAATGGTGCACAAAGACTAAAAATGAAGGATTAATGCAAGATTTGAGCAATGGGAATGAAAAAAAACAAAGGAATTATTTGGGAATGGAATGATGGAGGATTCCAAAGGATGGGAAAGAAAGGAAAATGTGTTAAAATTAGCCCCGAGGGAAGGGGAATTCCTGGATAATGACCTGGCGAGGGGAGGCAAGGCTTACACTTTGGGGCACTTCGTAGGCGATCTGCGTGGAGACCCCGCCCATGTCCAGGATGCCCACGGTCCTCTTGCGGAAAATGGGATCGTGGTGCTCGCTGCCAGGGACCTGCACCTCCACCACGGCTTCATCCTCTGGGAAACAGAAAAATCCATGGGAAAAATCAGTGGGAAACAGGGAAAAATCCCTGTGCTCGCTGCCAGGGACCTGCACCTCCACCACGGCTTCATCCTCTGGGAAAAAACGGGAAAAATCCATGGGAAATAGGGAAAAAATAAATGGGAAACAGGGAAAAAATCCCTACACTCACTGCCAGGGACCTGCACCTCCACCACGGCTTCATCCTCTGGGAAAAAACGGGAAAAATCCATGGGAAAAATCCATGGGAAACAGGGAAAAATCCCTGTGCTCCCTCTGCCAGGGACCTGCACCTCTAGCACTGCCTTGTCCTCTGGGAAAAATCAGTGGGAAACAGGGAAAAAATCAGTGGGCAACAGGGAAAAATCCATGGGAAACTGGGAAAAATCCACGGGATACTGGGAAAAAAATCACTGCACTTGCTTCCTGGGATCCGCACCTCTGCCACTGCCTCGTCCTCTGTGAAAAACATTGGAAAAATCAGTGGGAAATAGGGAAAAATCAGTGGGAAACAGGGAAAAATCAGTGGGAAATAAGGGAAAATCAGTGGGAAATAGGGAAAAATCAGTGGGAAATAAGGGAAAATCAGTGGGAAATAAGGGAAAATCAGTGGGAAATAGGGAAAAATCAGTGGGAGACTGGGAAAAATCCATGGGAAACAGGGAAAAAGGGACCTGCACCTCTAGCACTGCCTCGTCCTCTGGGAAAAACATTGGAAAAATCAGTGGGAAAGAGGGAAAAATCAGCAGGAAATAGGGAAAAATCAATGGGAAATAAGGGAAAATCAGTGGAAAGTAGGGAAAAATCAGTGGGAGACAGGGAAAAATCCCGGGGATCCAGCCAGGGAGGGTGCAGTGGAGCTGCTGTTTGTGGCTGTTAAAGCTCCAGGGGGGAGTGGAGCCAACCCAACCCCTGCAGCAGCTGCCAACATCTGGCTGGAACTGCATCCCCACATCTGGAAATGCAACTCCCATGTTGGAACTGCATCCCCACATCTGGAAATGCAACTGGCATGGCTGGAACTGCTTCCCAACATCTGGAAATGCAACTCCCATGTTGGAACTGCATCCCAACATCTGGAAATGCAACTGCCATGGCTGGAACTGCATCCCAACATCTGGAAATGCAACTGCCATGGTTGGAATTGCTTCCCAACATCTGGCTGGAATTGCATCCCCGCAACTGGAAATGCAACTCCCACGTTAGAATTGAATCCCACATCTGGAAATGCAACTCCCATGGTTGGAACTGCATCCCAACATCTGGCTGGAATTGCATCCCAACATCTGGCTGGAAAATCCCCACCTGGAGCCCCAGCCCCCCCCCAGCTCCTCACCATCGTCCGTGTGCTCAAATCTTCCAAGGACAAAGTTGATCCCAATCCATGCATAGACTCCTGCAGGTGGGAATAAAGCAGATCTGGAACTTCAGGAATAGCTGGATTATCAACTTGAAAGCAGATTGAAACATTTCAATTTATTTTTTTTTCTGTGTGAGTTCAGTTCTGTTATTGCTCATTTTTATTTTCAAATTGTAGAAGTGAAACATTCCTGGGAAATCATTCATTCCATCAGGAATTCCTGGTGATTTTCTCCTCTCCCAGGTCAATGCCATGACAAAATTCCTGGCGGAATGAATTAAAGACACTTTGATGTGTAAAATTCAGGAAAGAATTGAAGGAAATGAAATTTTAAAGGGATTTTAGGGCTCTGGTGATCACATAAAAATATCCCTGCTTTCAAAATCATCTCAACCTGCAAAGTTCCTTCCATCAGGAATGTTGTGATTGATCCTTCCCCTCCCTCTGGAGGAAATGGATTCAGTGCCATTAAATTTTCAGGGATAATCCGCAAAGATTTGGCCAATCAGCATTTGAAAAAGCAACAAAACCATCCCAATTATTCTCTTGGAAATCCCAACTATTTTCCAGCAACAAAAAATTCACCCAAAATCCCTTGGAAATCCCAAATATTTTCCAGATTCAATTCCATTAAAGGAATTCCTAAATAACTCCAGAGCGCCCACCTCTTCCTGGGGACTGCGCGAGGGGAATGAGCAATCAGGCTTCCGCACCGACACGGCACATGTCGCTGTCACCCGGGAGGGGGATGCCAAGGGGAAGAGGCTCTGGTGATCACATAAAAATATCCCTGCTTTCAAAATCATCTCAACCTGCAAAGTTCCTTCCATCAGGAATGTTGTGATTTATCCTTCCCCTCCCTCTGGAGGAAATGGATTCAGTGCCATTAAATTTTCAGGGATAATCCGCAAAGATTTGGCCAATCAGCATTTGAAAAAGCAACAAAACCATCCCAATTATTCTCTTGGAAATCCCAAATATGTTCCAGACTCAATTCCATTAGAGGAAATCCCAAATATTTTCCAGATTCAATTCCATTAAAGGAATTCCTAAATATTTTCCAGATTGAATTCCAGTAAATTTTCTTTTTTTCAGCAAACTTTGGCCCATCAGGAGCTCCCACATCCCCACACTCCACAGGAACAGAGGAATGTTCCTTTCCTGAGGAATAAAGGCTCTCAAGCAAAGCAGGGTTGGAAAAACCAATAAAAAACACCCCAAATAATCCCTTAGAAATCCTCAATGTTTTCCAGATTGAATTCCATTAAATTTTCAGGGATTATCAGCAAAGATTTGGCCAATGAAGATTTGAAAAAGCAACGACACTATCCCAAGTACCCTCTTGGAAATCCCAAATATTTTCCAGACTCAATTCCATTAGAGGAAATCCTAAATATTTTCCAGATTTAATTCCATTAGAGGGAATTCTAAATATTTTCCAGATTCAATTCCAGTAAATTTTCAGGGATAATCAGAAAATATTTGGCCCATCAGGAGCTCCCACCATCTCCTGAGGAACAAAGGCTCTCAAGAAAAGCAGGACTTGAAAAAGCAACAAAAACACCCCAAACCTTCCCTTGGAAATCCCATTTCCCAGATTCAATTCTATCAGAGGAAATCCCAAATATTTTCCAGATTCAATTCCATTAGAGGAAATCCTAAATGTTTTCCAGATCCAATTCCAGTAAATTTTCAGGGATAATCAGCAAACTTTGGCCCATCAGGAGCTCCCATCACCCTCAGACTCCAGAAGAACAAATGAATATTCCTCTCCTGATGAATAAAGGCTCTCAAGCAAAGCAGGGTTTGAAAAACCAATAAAAAATACCCCAAATCATCCCTTGGAATTCCTAAATGTTTTCCAGATCCAATTCCAGTAAATTTTCAGAGATAATCACCAAACTTTGGCCCATCAGGAGCTCCCACCCCCGCACTCCAGAGGAACAGAGGAATATTCCTTTCCTGAGGAATAAAGGCTCTCAAGCAAAGCAGAATTTGAAAAACCAGTAAAAAATACCCCAAATCATTGCTTGGAAATCCCAAATATTTCCCAGCCACTTTCCCAAGGCCCACCTACCTTCCTGCTTCCCAGAAATCACCTCAGCGTGCGAGTCAGAGAAGAGGAAATCGAAGTGCACGGGGATGTCCGTGAGCAGATCCTCCAGGATGGCCTTCTGCTGGCTGCAAAATTCCACAGAAAAGGCTTAAAAAAAGCTGGGATTCAGCTGGAATTCCCCAAAAACCCAGCAGGAATGACCTCTCGGGCAGGATCCTCATGCCTGCAGTGCACAGGATGTAGAGAGGGGTCTCCTTGTGCTTGGAGCGCGGCACGTGCTCGGCGGCGAAGCTCAGCAGGGGTGAGATGTAATCACTGACCTTGTCAGGAGAGCTGGCAAACTCAGAAATTCCTGGGAAAACACAAAAGTGGGAGTGCAGCAGCTCCAGCTGCAGCATTCCCTGGAAAATCCTGAGCAAAAGAATGAAGAGAAGTGGGAAATCAGCTGTAAAAATTATGGAATTCTTATTTTTGGTGGTGCTTTCCTCTCTTAACTCCCTGCGTTGTAAAGGAAATTTCCAGGTTTCTTTGGGACTGGTTTGCCAGGAATTTTAAAGTCTGGAATAGGGCAGGAGGGAGAGGTTTTTCATGGGACAGCAACAGGAAAAGGTGGTGTTGAAAATCAAAGCAGGTACTGGGAAAACCATGGAATTTCCCCATGATTTCCTCTCCTAACTGTGCTTCCTGCACTCCAAAGGGGCTGGAAAAGGGAAATTTCCAGGTTTCTTTGGGATTGGTTTGTAGGAAGTTTTGTGGAGCTCAAACCTGGAATGGGGCAGGAGAGAAAGGTTTTGCCATGGGACAGGAAAAGGTGATGAAAATCAAACAAGGAGCTGGGAAAAACATAGAATTTCTCCACAACTTCCTCTCCTAACTGTGCTTCCTGCTCTCCAAAGGGGCTGGAAAAGGGAAATTTCCAGCATGGAACAGCTCCAGGTTTCCTTGGGATTGGTTTGCAGGGAGTTTAAAATAAGGAATATAAGGAAATAGAGGAAAATAAGGAAAAGATAGGGAAAAAATGGGGGGAAAATGGGTGAAAAAAAAGGATGAAGGTGACACTGAGCACCCTTTAGAACTTAAATAAAATTTGTGTTGGTGTGATATTTTTTACATAATTTATTTACATAATTATTTACATAATTATTGATAATAATTGGCTGAAATAACTTCACAGGAACACAATTATTTCTTCATCAAATAAAGAGAATAAAGGTAAATTATAACAGGACCAGCACCTGCCTTATCCATGGCCAAACCTCTCTCTCCTGCCCCATTCCAGACTTCAACTGCTGCAAATCAATCCCAAAGAACCCTGGAGCTCTCCCAGCTGGAAATTTCCTTGGAGTGCAAAAAGCCAAGTTGGGGGAGGAAATAATGGAGATGTTTTCCATGATTTCCATGTTCCTCCTGGTGTGATTTTCCTGCTCATTTTCCTGTTGCTGACACTCCCTTGTTTCCCTCCTGCCCCATCCCAGGCTTAAGCTCAACAACACTCCTGCAAACCAATCCCAAAGAAACCTGGAGCTCTTCCACACTCACAACGTGGAAATATCCTTTATCCAGGCACCTTGGAGTGCAGGAAGCACAGTTAGGAGGGGAAATCTTGGAGAAATTCCATGTTTCTCCCAGTACCTGGCTTCATTTTCATCACCACCTTTTCCTTTTCCTGTCCAATGGACAAAACTCTCACTTCTGCCCCACTCCAGACTTAAACTCCACAAAACTCCCTACAACCAACCCCTAAAAACTCTGGAGTTGTTCCACACTCACAACATGGAAATTTCCCTTATCCAGACCCCTTGCAGTGCAGGAAGCACAGCTAGGAGAGGAAATAATGGAGAAATTCCACGTTCTTGCCCATACCTGGTTTGATTTTCATCACCACGGGTTTCCTGGAGCTGTCCCTCATCTGCTGGATGTCCAGTTGGTCATGGGGACAGCACCTGCCTTATCCATGGACAAACCTCTCCCTCCTGCCTATGTTAAACTTCAACCTCCACTAAACTCCCTGCAAACCAATCCCAAAGAAACCTGGAGCTCTCCCACCTGGAAATTTCCCTTATCAGCCACTTTGCAGTGCAGGAAGCACAGCTAGGAGAGGAAACCATGGAGAAATTCCACATTTGTGCCAGTATCTGGTTTGATTTTCATCACCACGGGTTTCCTGGAGCTGTCCCTCATCTGCTGGATGTTGTGAGGACAGCACCTGCCTTATCCATGGACAAACCTCTCCCTCCTGCCTACTTCAATCTTTAACCTCCACTAAACTCCCTGCAAACCAATCCCAAAGAAACCTGGAGCTCTCCCACCTGGAAATTTCCCTTATCAGCCCCTTTGCAGAGCAGGAAGCACAGCTAGGAGAGGAAACCATGGAGAAATTCCACGTTTGTGCCCGCACCTGGTTTGATCTTCATCACCACGGGTTTCCTGGAGCTGTCCCATGGAAAACCCTCTCCCTCCTGCCCCATTTCAGTGTTAAACTCCTGCAAACCAATCCCAACGAACCCAGGAGCTCTCCCACCTGGAAATTTCCCTTATCAGCCACTCTGCAGTGCAGGAAGCACAGCTAGGAGAGGAAACCATGGAGAAATTCCACGTGTTACCCATACCTGGTTTGATTTTCATCACCACGGGTTTCCTGGAGCTGTCCCATGGAAAACCCTCTCCCTCCTGCCCCATTTCAGTGTTAAACTCCTGCAAACCAACCCCAAAGAATCCTGGAGCTGTTCCATGCTCTCAAGGTTGAAATATCCTTTATGCAGCCACTTTGCAGTGCAGGAAGCACAGCTAGGAGAGGAAACCATGGAGAAATTCCATGTTTTTTCAGTACCTGGTTTGATCTTCATCACCACGGGTTTCCTGGAGCTGTCCCTCATCTGCTGGATGTCCAGCAGGTCCTTGGGGTTGCCGTTGTGCCGGGGCCAGCAGTACACGAACACCCTGGAGCCGCTGCTGCCGCAGTCCACCACGATGCCGTAGCTCAGGTTGGGGTTCCCGGTGTCCGTGGCCTCCGTGTCCGTCACCCTGGCCAGGTACCTGGGGAAAATGGGAATTGCTGCAGGGGATTTGGCTCCCTGTGGGTGTTTTGGTGAAAATCACACTCAGAACTGGGTGGGTTTGGGATGAGTTGGGTGGGAGTTTAAATCTCATCCAGTGCCACCCTCAGGGACACCTCCTGCTGTCCCAGGGGGCTCCAGCCTGGCCTTGGGCACTGCCAGGGATCCAGGGGCAGCCCCAGCTCCTCTGGAATTCCAGCCCAGCCAGGAATTCCTTCCCAACATCCCATCTCTCCGTGCCTCTGGCAGAAGGAGGCCATTCCTGCCCCTATGTCACAGAAAATTCCAAGAGAAGTGTGTCACCGTGATATTTCCTGAAAAATCCTCTTTGCCCAGGATTCTTCTCCTGGGAAGCTCAGAAGCCTCAGAGAGTGTTTTGCTGCTTTGGAATGTGGCTGGGGATTGTTTATCCAGCATGTGAACTGTTCTCACTTAATGACCAAGCAAACAAATGACCAATCCAGCTGTGTCAGGACTCAGGAGAGTCAGCAGTTCTCATTATTCATTCTTGTTATGCCTTCTGTCTGTATCCTTTCTCTATCTTTAGTATAGTTTTAGTACAGCATTCCATAATACAATATAATAGAATAGAATAATAAATTAGTCTTCTAAGAACATGGAGTCAGATCCAATCACTTGTCCTGAGGACCCCAGAAACTACCACAGAAGTGCCAACCTCAAGGATCAAATTCCCACAGCAAATGGCAAAAGCAATTCCCAAAAAAATTTTATTATAGAGAATTTTCATCCCTACAGCTCCTACAGAGGCATAAAATATAAACCCCTGAAAAGCCTCCTAAAAAAAGCAGGAAATGTTTTCTTTTAGGCAAGATAAAGATGGATGGGGAAAGCTACTTTCTGTACCACCAACACAACCTGAGAGTGTTTCCCCTTTCCCCCCAAGCTCTATTTCCTTCTTTTCCGTGGAATTCTTTTCCCTTTTCCCCCCAGAGCTCCACTTCTCTCTTTTCCATGGAAATCTTTTCCTCCTTTTCCCCCAAGTTCAATTTCCCCCCTTTCCTCCCAGAGCTCCATTTCCCTGTTTTAAATGGAATTCTCTCCCTTCTCACCTGTGGAATCTCCCATTCCGGGCTCAGTACTTCCCTCAGACCAGGCACTCCCCCTTTCCCCCAGGCTCCATTCCCTGTTTTCCATGGAATTCTTTCCTCCTTTCCCCCAGGCTCCACTCCCTGTTTCCCATGGAATTCCCTCCCCTCACCTGTGCAATCTCCTGTCCTGGGCTGTCCTGCCATACTTTCCACAGATCAGGAGACCTGAAGTGTTCCCCCTTTCCCCCAGGCTCCATTCCCTGTTTTCCATGGAATTCTTTCCTTCTTTCCTCAGAGTTCCATTTCCTTGTTTTCCATGGAATTCCCTCCCTCTCACCTGTGGAATCTCCCATCCTGGGCTGTCCTGCTGTATTTCCCACAGATCAGGAGCAGAGAGCAGAGCAGCATTTCCCCTTTCCCCCAGACTCCATTCCCTGGTTCCCATGGAACTCCAGCCCCTCTCACCTCTGGAATCTCCCATCCCAGGCTTGGCGCTTCCCGTGGATCAGGAGCAGAGCACCACTTCCCCATTCCCTGTTTCCCATGGATTCCCTCCCCTCTCACCTCTGGAATCTGCCATCCCAGCCTGGTGCTTGCTGAGGATCAGGAGCAGGGAGACCTGTGATTGTTCCCTCTTTCCTCCAGGCTCCATTCCCTGTTCCTGTGGAATTCCCTCCCCTCTCACTTCTGGAATCTGCCATCCTGGATGTGGTGCTTCCCGTGGATCAGGAGCAGAGCAGCATTTCCCCATTCCCCAGGATCCATTCCCATGGATTCCCTCCCCTCTCACCTGTGGAGCACCTCCCAGGCGCGGTGCTTGCCTCAGATGGGCAGCAAGGAGCAGAGCAGCATTCCCAAGGATTCCCTCCCCTCTCACCTGTGGAATTTGGCCTCCCAGGCGCGGTGCTTGTCGTGGATCAGGAGCAGAGCAGCATTTCCCCGTTCCCCAGGCTCCATTCCCTGTTTCCCATGGAACTCCAGACCCTCTCACCTGTGGAGTTTCCCCTCCCGGGCGCGGTGCTTGCCGCGGACCAGCAGCAGGGAGCAGAGCAGCAGCGCCGCCGCGGCCGCGGCCGCCCCGAGCAGCAGCAGCTGCCGCAGGGACGCGTTCAGCACCCGGGGACACCCCACGGGCGACAGGCTGAAGTGCCACGAGGCCGGCAGCAGGCAGGAGATGCTGAGCCTGGAATCCCAAGGGACAAACGAGAGGACTGAGTGATGGGTTTGGTGCTGAACGCGGGAAAATTCCGATGGAATTCCCACTCCTGCCCCACCCCTGGGAGGGGGGCTGAGGAGGATGGAAGGATCCCGTGGGATTCGCTGGGTTTGGGGCTGCAGCTCCTTTTTACCTCCTGCCTTTCTTTCAAAATCTCAGGAAAATTAGAGCCAGGAAGGAGGGAAAAGCCTGGCTTGGGATTCAGGGAATGGTCCTGGAGAAATCTGGGAGGACCTCAGGGCAGTCCCCAGGGCCTGAAGGGGCTCCAGGAGAGCTGGAGAGGGACTGGGGACAAGGATGGAGGGACAGGGAATGGCTCCCACTGCCCGAGGGCAGGGATGGATGGGACACTGAGGAGGGGCTGGGATGGAATTCCCAGAGGAGCTGGGGCTGCCCCTGGATCCCTGAAGTGCCCAAGGCCAGGCTGGAGCCCCTGGGACAGTGGGAGGGGTCCCTGCCATGGCAGGGTGGGATGATCCCCAAAGCCCCTTCCAACCCAACCCATTCCAGGATTCTGCTCTGGATTGAGAGGACTCAGGACACCATTCCCGTGATTAGGTTCCCTGTCCTTCCCTCCAAAGCCTCTCCACTGGTCCCACAGTCCCTCTGGGACCCTTACCTGCCCATTGTGGGAGCGGGGCAGCACAGGAGCTCAGGAGCCTCAGCCGGTGACCTCGGAGGGACCAGGAACATCCCACGTGCCCTGAGCCATCCCGGCTCTGCTCCTGGGGAAAGCAAGGCAGCTGGATCCCTCAGAGCCCGGGAGATCCCTGAGGCAGCTGGATCCCTGCTCAGGGAGATCCCTGAGGGAGCTGGATCCCTGCAGAGCCCTGGGAGATCCCTGAGGCAGCTGGATCCCTGCAGAGCCCTGGGAGATCCCTGAGGAACACCCTGGGATGGGACCCTTCCCTTCCCTTCCCTTCCCTTCCCTTCCCTTCCCTTCCCTTCCCTTCCCTTCCCTTCCCTTCCCTTCCCTTCCCTTCCCTTCCCTTCCCTTCCCTCCCTGGGCTTTCCCGGGTAAGGAAAGCAGGAATCCAGAGGAAAGCAGGACTCCAGAGGGGTGGAACACGGGATCACCCCGGGCACGGCGGGAGGGGCTGGGATGGCATTCCCGGAGGGCTGCCCTGGATCCCGGCCCCAGGCTGGAGCAGCGGGGGTGCCGGGCTCGGTGCTGAGGGGGATTTGGGCGCTATTTAAGCTCCTTCCCACCCACAGCACGTTCTGGGACCCCCGGCAGGATCGAGCACCGGCAAAACTCGAAAGGAAAGAAGGAAATGCAGGAATGGCCCCTCAGGGAGCAGCCGGGGCTGTCCCGGGGGAAGATCCCGCCCGAGGGGCCACCGGGGCGCTGAGCCGGGAACGGAGGGGACATGGGACACCGGGATGGGGACACCGGGATGGGGGTAAGGGATAGGGGAACGGGATGGAATAGCGGGACGGGGGGGAAGATCCCACCCGAGGGGCCACCGGGGCGCTGAGCCGGGAACGGAGGGGACATGGGACACCGGGATGGGGGTAAGGGATAAGGGAACGGGATGGAATAGCGGGACGGGGAAACGGGACGGAGGCAAGGACGAGCAAGGGACGCGGCGCGGAACGAGCCGGTCCAGCCCCCGCCCGGCCCCACGGCCGCCACCGTCCCGCAGGGCCCCGCCCGGCTCCCCCCGCACCCCGCGGCCCCCGGCGATCCCGGCCCCGGTCCCGTTCCCATTCCTGGTCCCATTCCCGTTTCCATTCCCATTCCCGTTCCCATTCCCCGGTCCCATTCCCCGGTCCCGTTCCCATATCCCGTTCCCGATCCCGTTCCCGATCCCCGGTTCCGTTCCGGCCCCGGGCCCGGTCCCATTCCTGGTCCCATTCCCGTTTCCATTCCCATCCCCGCTGTTTCCCCCTCTCTCTCTCTCTCTCCCCCAACTTCACCTCCCGGGCCGCCCCATGGCAACCGGCCTACGCCACTTCCGGGTGCGCCGCCGGACGTGACGCAGAGCGCGCTGACGTCACTGCGGGACCGAGAAGGGATTCCCCGGGGGCGTGGCTTAGGGGCGTGGCCATGGTGTGGGCGTGGCCACGAGCCGCGCGCGCTGCCGGTAAAACCAGCAAAAATCGCTATAAAAACACCGTTAACGGCAGAAACAGGCATTTATGGCTATAAATATACCACAACGGAGAAATAGATAACACTTATAGCCATAACTTTGTCAATGTTGTGAAAGATATAAAATTTGTAGCTAAAAACGTGACTATATTTTGAAATATATTCAATTCGTAGCTAAAAACGTGACTATATTTTGAAATATATTCAATTCGTAGCTAAAAATGTGACTTTATTTTGAAATATATTCAATTTGTAGCTAAAAACGTGACTATATTTTGAAATATATTCAATTCGTAGCTAAAAACGTGACTATATTTTGAAATATATTCAATTCGTAGCTAAAAATGGGACTTTATTTTGAAATACATTCAATTCGTAGCTATAACTGTGTTGCTGTTTTGAAATATATAAAATTTATACTTACAAGTGTGTCAACATTTTGAAATATATTAAATGTATAGCTATAAAAGTGTCAATATTTTGAAATAAACTTATACATGTGTCAATATTTTGGAATCAATTCAGCTTACAGCTATCACTATACCGATATTTTGAATTCTATTGTTATAACTCTCCAGTGGTTGTAGCAGCTGTAATAAACATCTCAATATTTACCATCTAAAGAACAAATACATTAATTTGATTTTTAAAAAACCAAAAAAAATCCCCAAAAACAAGGAAGGGGAGGAAATTGCACGGAGAAAAGGGGAATTCTCCCGTGTTGTGCCACTGAGCGGCAGCAGCGCCCGTGCCCGCTCCAGGAGCCCCGCAGGAATGGGGACGGTTCTCCCGGCCGGGATGGGGTGGGAATAAAGGGAATAAAGCCGGGATTTGCAGGGACGGCGGGGCTGGAATCCATCCGGGAGGGGCTGGGGAGGAGCGGGTCTGGGGTGGGAATTATCCCGGGGAAGGGAATGGGAAGGGAAAAGGGATAGGGGAAGGGAAAAGGGAATTGGAACAGAAGAAGGAAAAGGGAATGGAATAAGGAATGGGGAAATGAAAAAGGGAAGGGAAAAGGAAAGGGAATAAGGAAAAGGAAAGGGAATAAGGAAAAGAAAAGGAATAAGGAAAAGAAAAGGGAAGGAATAAGGGAAGGAGAAAGGAAAGTTGAAAAGAGAAGGGAAAGGGGAATGGAACAAGGAATAGAAAGGGAAGGGGAAAGGAAAAAGAAAGGGGAATGGAACAAGGAAAGGAAAAAGGAAAGGGGAAAGGGAAGGTGAAGAGAGAAAGGAAAAAGATAAGGAAAGGAAAAAGGAAGGAACAAGGAAAGGAAAAAAGAAAGGGGAAAGGAACAAGGAAAAGAAAAGGGAAGGGGAAAGGAAAAAGAGAAGGGAAAAGGAAATGGGAAAGGGATAAGGAAAGGACAAAGGAAAGTTGAAAAGAGAAGGGAAAGGGGAATGGAATAAGGAAAGGAAAGGAAAAAGGAATAAGTGGAAAGGAAGGAAAAAGGGAAAGAATAGAAGGCAATAAGGCAAAGGTTTCCCTGTCCCCAGGGAGTGCTGGGAGGAGAGGAGAGGAGAGGAGAGGAGAGGAGAGGAGAGGGCTGGTGGTTCCCAGGGACGGGCCAAGCCCCCCTCGGGACTCACGGGATGGGATGGCTCCATCCGGAGGCCCTGGCCGTCCCTGGCCGCAGTCCTGCCGGAACCCCATGGCAACCCCGCAGTTTCCAAGCATCCCTGCAATGTGGGAGAGCCGGGGCCGGTCCGTGCTGGGCAGGGCGCGCTGAAGGAGCAGCTTTGGGGACCGGGGCTCCTCCGAGAGGAATCGCCCCGGGACACGGGCAGCTCCCCCAAGGGGTCCCTGTCCCGGGGCCGGCAGGAGCGGCCGGGCTGTGGGGAGGAGGGATGAGGCTGGAAGGGTCTCCCAAGGGATTTTCCTCCCGGCATTTCTGCGTTTGTTCGTTTAAATGTTCCCACTCCAAAGCTCCTGGATCAGCGCTGGCTTTGAGGTGAGTAAAGGGGATTTTTTTCTCTGCTTGTGCTGTGGCAGAAGGCTCATTCTAAGTCCTCATTCCAGTGTTTTCTCTTCACTGTTTTTAATCCCATTTTAAACACGTTTATTTGCCCTGAAGTGGTGAAACCCATCAGAATTAACCAATTTCACCGAGGCCATGCGAGGGGTCAGGGCAGAGCAGGACTCTGGAATGGTTTGGGGTTGGAAGGAGCTTAAATCCCACCCAGTTCCAATTCGGCTCTTTCTGATGTCTCTGCTGGTGACGCTGTGGTGACGTTACACAAAACAATTGTGAAGCCGATCCCTGCTCGGTGACTCAGGCGAAAGGAGAAATCTCAGGAATGTGGGCAAAGCTGGGACCGATCCCGCTCTGCCTGCACGGTTAAACGGGTCCGTTCTGATGGGCTCCAGCACTCTTTGGGGCAAAGAACCCCATTAACCCCTGCCCCGAGCCTGTGGCAGAGCAGGAATTCCGGTTTTCCACGATTTCCCAGCACCGATCCAACAGCAGCAGCCCCATTCCCGGAGTCCCCACCTTTCCCTGAAAGCTGCACCAAGTCAGAGGGGCTGGGGCTCCCTGCCTGGCCCTGCTGGGGCTCTGCCTCTTCCCATCTTGGGTGCTTTGGGGCTGGAATAACCCCCTGGAGAATCTCCAGGCCTCAGTTCTCTCGAAGTTTCTCGGCTGGTGGCTCTCCCTGGCATCACCTCCTGCTGTGGTGAGAAAGTTCAGGAATGTGGTTACAGCTGGGAACCATCCTGCTCTGCCTACACGCTCAGATTGTTTCCTTCTGATGGGCTCCAGCACTGGTTTTTGGGCTAAAATGTGCATTAATCCTTACCCTGAGCTTGTGCAGAGCAGGAATTCCTCTTTTCCATGATTTTCCAGCACCAATCCCAACAGCAGCACCTCATGGAGGCTTCAGAGCAGGAGCTGCTGCTCCCAAAGTGGGTCAGGTCACCCCGAAGACAAAACAGAATTGTTTGTTTAGATTGCTGGAGTTTGCAAATATAAAGATAAAAAATAACTGGGACACGTCAGGTTTCCAAGCAGATGAATCTCCCTGTGGCTCTCCATTCCCAGAGAATCCAGGCTGGATCCTTTTCCAGGGATCTCCTGAGGCTGGCAGGCCTTGGGGCTGGGAAAGAGGTGCAGAGTCAAATTTGTATTTTGGGGCTGGGAAAGAGATGCAGACTCAGGGTTAAATTTGTATTTTGGGGCTGGGAAAGAGGTGCAGACTCAGGGTTAAATTTGTATTTTGGGGCTGGGAAAGAGGTGCAGAGTCAGAGTTCAATTTGTATTTTGGGGAATTTTGGTTGTTTTTAAGGAAGGATGGGATGTGCTGGGAAGGGGCTGGTTTGTGTCCTGTGGGCTGGGGAATTGATTCCCATGTGGAATCTGTTTTTCCTATGAGGATCTGCCACCCAAACTTGCCAAGAAAAGCTGTGAGGACATAAAATTCCAGCTGGCCGTGCTGCAAATAAGATTGAAATCAAATCAACCATTTATATTTGCTCTGATCCATCTTCTAAAGCCTTTAAGTGCCATAAACCAGGGCCTTTTCCTTTCCACATTAAAAATTACGGAATGGTTTGGGTTGGGAGGGACTTAAAATCATCCATGGGCAGGGCTCCACTGTCCCAGGGTGCTCCAAGCTGGCCTTGGACCCTTCCAGGGATGGAGCAGCCACAGCTCCTCTGGGAATTCCATACTAGGGAAGAAAACCACAATTATCTGATACTGAACACACCAATTTTTTTAAATTTTAAATTTTTTTAAAACAAAATAACTTTGAATGTGCTGCTCCGTGGCTTTGGCAGCTGCCAGGGCAGCCCCGAGCTGCTGGTGGGGAGGATAAAGCCCTGAGCCAGGTGGAGCTCAGCTGTTAGAGAAGCTGGAGATTTGCAAAGTGACAAAAACGTAAATACAAACCCCTGGATCCAGGAGATAAAGCCCAGTTTGGGTGCCCACCTCGCAGCTGGGCACTGCTGCCTTATCAGCCTGGCTGCAGCTTCTGGCTCTGGCAGCCCCTGCGTGGTGAGGGCTGGGATAAGAGCTCCAGGTGCTCCTTATCAGCTGGGAGGGGCTCTGGGTGCTGCCCCAGCCCACCAGAGCCTTCCTTCCCCTGCTGCATTCTCCTTTCTCGGGAATTCCTGGTACTGGGCTCTGCTCCTGCTGTGCCACAGCTGCCCCAGGCTGCAGCAGGGAGGTGCTGCCCAGCCTGGGGGCTGTGCCTGATGCCTGGATTTACCTGGCTGCTGGCACAGAGGGAATGAGGGTGAACTTTGGGAACTCTGCTGGGACTTGCTGGGGTGTGGGTGATGAAGTTGTGGATTCATGGAATGGTTTGGGCTGGAAGGAGCTTAGAGCCCATCCAGTGCCAGCCCTGCCATGGCAGGGACAGCTCCCACTGTCCCAGGGGCTCCAGCCTGGCCTTGGGCACTGCCAGGGATCCAGGGGCAGCCACAGCTCCTCTGGGAATTCCATCCCAGCCCCTCCCAGGCAGGAATTCCTTCCCAAATCCCACCCAACCCTGCTCTCTGGCAGTGGAAGCCATTCCCTGGGTCCTGTCCCTCCAGGCTCTTCCTGCTCAGCAAATTCCCAGTGTCCAGGGCTGTTCCTGCAGCACCTGCAGAGGGATGGGAAAATAAAATCCTGGAATGGTTTGGGTGGGAAGGGACCTCACTCCCATCCTGCCACCCCTGCCATGGGACACCTCCCACTATCCCAGGTGGCTCCAAGTGGCCCTGGACACCCCCAGGCTGAGGCTGCTGCAGCCCAAATGTGGTTTTAGCTCTGCCCTTCCCTGTTTCCCTGCTCCTGTGGAATTTGGGGCTCGTGGAGCACCCAGGGACCCCCAAGCCCGGGGAGCTCTAGGATGGGATGCAGGGAGCAGAGGGTGGGAAGGGAGGAGTGAGGGAATCCCTGCACAAGCCTGGTCTCAAGGAAGCTTTTCCAGGGAAGCTGAGCTCCTGTTGTCCAGGGATGGCAGGAATCCCTCCCAGGCCACAGGCTGCTCCTCTTCCTGCTGCTGGCCACAGCCTATGCATGTTATGGGAATCTTCTCTCAAACTTTAAACATTCTCTACAAATTTATCTCCCACACCTGTCTGCCCCGTTTCCCTGGCAGAAATCATGGATAATCCCATCCCATCCCCAGGAACAGGGGGAACCCCTCAGGCTGAGGCTCCCCCAGCTCTGGAGCACAAGGATTCTTGGTGGCACCGCTCCAGGGTTAAAATGTAACCTGGGAGCAGAAATCCAGCCTGGCCCAGCTCATTATCAGGCAGCAACACCTGAGAGTGCAGGAGAAAGGGCTCATTAAGGAGAGTCTAATTCCCCCTCCCTGCCCTGCCACAGGCACGGGAAGGAGATTACAGTTCTTGCTCAGGGAGAGGAAAACCTCGATAAAGGCTGTGGAGCAATCCTGGGAAATGTGTCCCTGCCAGTTCTGTTTCCTTGGATCACAGCAAGGGAAGTTCCCGTGGCCTGGGGATCACAGTTCTCTGCTGGAATTACAGGTGTGGATGTGGCTCTCCAGTTTAAATGTCATTTAATGTGGAAAACTCAGTGCCAAACCCTGCCAGCAGCACAGCTCTGGTCTCTCTCCAAGGAAATAAAGGTGTGATAATCCCGTGGCTTCTCCCGGGGGCAGGAAGGGGAGATTTGAGCAATTCCTGGGTTCAGTTTGTGCTGTGGAAGGGTTTGATACCCTCAGCTTTGCACAGGCCTCAGGGATGGGGGATGGCTGGGACACCCCGGGGCAGGAGCTGGCTGTCACCTGCAGCTCTCCCACATCCTGGAGAAGTGTTTTGCCAAGTGCAGGAAATGCTGCCAGGTCCCCAAAATCAATCAGGAGCGAGTCCCATGCGTGACAATGTCATTTATTGTTGTTTTCTCCAGCAGCTCCGTGTTCCCACGGGGAACAGAGAATTCCCAGCACAAATAAGGCAAGGAGGAAGGAGAGCAGCTCGTGCTGCCCCCAGCACCTCTCCAGGTGTGAGAGAAAATCCACACCTGGATTTTCTCACCTCGTGTGTGTTCATTTCCAAACCCAACACTTCATTTTCCTGCTTTTTCCAGGTTCTGAGGGTGGTTTTCCTCCTTCCCAAGGCCCACACAGCAATAAATTGCCCTGCAGTATCAGAGGAATGGTTAACCTTGATTTGAGCTCATGCAACACCTCCTTCCCGGCAAGGTCGAATTCCAAATAATCCTTTGGAGAGGAATGAAATAAAAGCCAGGGCTGCTCCCTGGGCCAAAAGACTTTGCCTCCTTCTCCTGGAGAGCACCAAATTCACCTGGCTTGGGTTGGTTTCATGGTGGAATGAGGAAATCATGGAAAATATGAAGGAAGAGAAGCGTTTTTGGGGAGCGGGGGCTCTGAGGGGACAAAGACACCCCCAGGACACCCCACAAAACCCCAAATAAGTCCTGTTCTGGGCAGCTCCCCTGGATCAGCAGCGCAGGAGCTGAGCACAGCCCTTCTGTGCTTTGGGGACAGTTTGGGGCAGCTCTGGGGACAATTTGGGGAAGCTTTTGGGACAATTTAGTGCTACTTTGGGGGACAGTTTGGGGCTGCTTTGGGGACATTTTGGGGAAGCTTTGGGGACAAATTGGGGCTGCTTTGGGGACATTTTGGGGCTGCTTTTGGGACAATTTAGTGCTACTTTGGGGGACAGTTTGGGGCTGCTTTGGGGACATTTTGGGGAAGCTTTGGGGACAAATTGGGGCTGCTTTGGGGACATTTTGGGGCTGAGCACAGCCCCTCTGTGCTTTGGGGACAGTTTGGGGCAGCTCTGGGGACAATTTGGGGAAGCTTTGGGGACAATTTAGTGCTACCTTGGGGGACAATTTGGGGCTGCTTTAGGGGACAATTTAGGACTGCAACGTGGATAATTTGGGGCTGCTTTGGGGACATTTTGGGGCTGCTTTTGGGACAATTTAGTGCTACTTTGGGTACAATTTGGGGCTGCTTTGGGGATGATTTATGACTACATTGGGGACAATTTGGGGCTGCTTTGGGCACAATTTGGGGCTGCTTTAGGGACAATCTGGGGCTGCTGTGGGGACCCTGCAGGGAAACAGCCACTCTGCCCATGGAATCTCCATCTCCAGGCCTGACCGCACCTTGCCCTGCCTCACCGGGGGTGACTGCAGGGGCCGTCCCGCACAAGGACCGAGCCCGAGCTGTGAGGGGCGCTCCCGTTCTCCCGGGGGCCGCGGGACAGGCAGCGGTGACACCGCGGCAGTCCCAGCCGTGCCACCAAAACCTCTCCGGCAGCCGCAATCGCTACGTCTCCCCTTCCTTCCCCCCAGCCTTGGCCGTGGCACACACCGCGAGGCCGGCACACCTGTCGGCGCTCGGGCGGACACAAACGGCCGCGGCCGGTGACAGTTACCCGCTCCGCCGCCGCGTCCCCCTCAGCGCCGCCGCCACAGCACGCCCGCCCTCACGGCCCCGCCCCGCCCACCCGCCGCCACAGCCAATCACAGCCCTCCGCCTCTCCCCTCTCACTTTTTATTGGTTAGTATTCCTGCCAATCATTTTCCCGCCCGGCGATGTCACGAATGCGCGCCGCGCTGATTGGTGGGGCCGGGCTGGGCGTGGCGAGCGCGGCTTTAAAGGAGGTTGGGCGGCGCGCGGTGGCAGCGCCCCCCCGGCCCCCGGTACCAGTGTCCGGCCCGGCTCGGCCCGGCTCGGCTCGGTGTGAGAGGTGTGCAAGCGTTATTGGGGTCAGGAAAAGGGAGTGTGAGAGGTGTGCAAGCGTTATTGGGGTCAGGAAAAGGGAATGTGAGAGGTGTGCAAGCGTTATTGGGGTGCAGGAGCTTCTGGGGTGCAGGGAGAGGGGGAGTGCGAGAGGTGTGCAAAGGGTTTTGGGGGTGCAAGGCTTTTTTGGGGTGCAAGAGGGGAGTGTGCAAGCGGCTATTGGGGTGTAAGAGGTGTGCAAAGGGTTGTTGGGGTGCAAGAAGAGGGGAGGTGTAAAGGGGGTGCAAAGGAGAAGTGTGTAAGCAGTTGTTGGGGTGAAAGGAGTGCTGGGGGTTCAAGGGGTTGTTGGAGTGTTAGGGACGTGTAAGAGATTTTGGGGTGCAAGGGAGGAAAATCTGCAAGAGACTGGGGTGCAAGGGGGGGGGAGCGTGGAGGGGATATTGGGGCGCAAGAAAGGTGGGGATGTGTAAGGGATCTTGGGATGCAGACGGGTGAAGTGTCCATGGAATGTTGGGGTGCAGATGGGCAAAGTTTCCGTGGAATGTTGGGGTGCAGATGGGCAAAGTTTCTGTGGAATGTTGGGGTGCACATGAGGGAAAGTGTCCATGGAATGTTGGGGTGCAGATGGGCAAAGTGTGGTGCACGTTTGGGGGGAGGTGTCCATGGAATGTGGGGGTGTGTGAGGTTCCCGGGAAGGCGCTGGGCAGGTGCCCAGGTGTCACCCCAAATCCTGCTGGCTCTGGGGCTGTCCTGCAGCCCCGGGGAGCTTTGCACAGAGGTGACACCCCAGTGCTGCTCCCTGGACTGGCAGATGCCCAGCCGGTGCCAGCAGTGCCCTGCTGGAATCCCTGGGGCTGGCATCAGGAGCTCCTCGGGCAGCTTTTCCCTCCCGGAGCCCAGGGATCCAGCTCAGGAGGGAAGAGCTGCTGGGATGGGGCGCTGGGGCCCCGTGGGGTGGGTGAGTGCCTTTGCTGGGGTCAGGCTGCTTGAGGAGGAGCTGCCCGCTGGATTTTGGAGCTGCTGATGCTCGAGCACACTCAGGGAAGGCTTCCCAGCGTCTCCGGAGTGTGGGAATTGTCCCGAAGGGTGTTTCCTCCCTCTGCCCTGCCAGTTTGCTGCTGTGGGGCCTTCAGAAGACGAGGGAAAGCTGGGAAAAGCCAAACTCCCTCGATGCCGGCGTGGATGAATCACGAGATGTTGCAATCCCTTCTCGTCCAGGGCTCCCCGAAAGAGTAGAAAGGGCAGAGCAGAGGAAGTGCCTTGGCTTTTGCAGCTCCTGCCAGTGTCCAAGCACTCAAAGGAAATATTCCCGGTTTTTTGCCCTGTTTGCCCCCTGGGTCTGTGAGCCAGGTGCACAGATCTGGGGTGGGGTTGGTGCCCACCCTGAGCGTGGCACCGGCTGCTGGCACGAGCAGAGGAGGTGCTTTGTGCCCAGTCACGGCCGGGCAGCTCCGCGGGTGTTGTCCCTCCGGAATTGTGCAGTTCTTTCCTCGGCGGGGAGAGCAGGGCCAGAAATGAAAGCGGTGCCCGGCTTCCTGGAGTGGGAGGCGCTTTGGAGGAAAAGCTCCGCGGGCTGTGCCTGGCCTGGCTGCGGCAGGGCCGGGCTGGGCTGGTCCTGCCAGCAGCAGGTCAGACCCTCCTGCTGCTGCCGGAGCCCACCAGGGTCCCTCTGTGCTGGGCCACTGCGAAATCCCGCCGGGATCTGCTCCTGCCCTGGGCACGCCCCTGCCCGCTGTGGGCAAAGGTACAGCTGAGCCAGAAAAGGGAGGTTTTGAGCCCTACAGAGGTTTGTTTTCTTGTGGTGGGTGTAATCCAATAACAGCTCGGCTCTTTCGCTGTGTTGTGGCAGAGGGGCCACGTTCCTGCAGAAAAGGAGCAAAGCTTTTCCTCCCTGGGACTTCCTGGGGCAGAGGTCCGGGCTGGAGGAGGTTGGGATTTTCTGCAGGTGCAGGAGGAGCACCTGGGCAGCTCCTGCTCTGAGGTTCCTCCTGTCTGGCTTCCAGCGAGTCATTTCCTCCCAAAGAGAAACTGAAAATGTCGTAATTTGGGGAATTGTTTGCTGCAGACACTTGCACAACCCCTGAGCTTGGTGGGGTCACGGAATCCCAGAATGGTTTGGGTGGGAAGGGACCTTAAAATCCCCTGGGGCCACCCCAGGGCAGGGACACTTCCCACTGTCCCAGGGTGCTCCAACCTGCCGCAGCTCCTCTGGGAATTCCATCCCTCCTTCCTCCCTCACAGGGAAGGATTCCTTCCCAATATCCAGTTTAAATCTACACTCTTTTCCTCTCCATTATTTTCCAGTATTGAATAAATAATAATGTAATTTTTTTTACCATTAGGCAAAGCCCCCTTGAGCTGCACTTTCCCTCTGCTTCTCCCCCTCAGCTCCAGTTGTTTGGACACCCCGGGCTGGGTTTTTCCTGGTGCTGAGGGTGTTTCTCACACTTCTCAGGCTTGTTTTTGTTTGTGGCTGCTGCAAAAAACAGCTGTGCTGGGAGCCCTGATCCATCCCCAAATGATCTGAAGGGATCAGCGTGTCAAGGACTCCTGATGGCAGCAGAAAAGGAGTTTCTGGAGGGCTCCCCTGGAGCCTCCTCCTCCTGCCCTGATCCTTTTGGTGATTTTTCTGCCGGAGCTGCTTTCCCAAAGGCTGTGAAAACAAAGGATGGGATCCCCTTGGGGATGTGAGGAACAGTTTTGCTCCCCTGGGGATTAATTAATCGCTGGGGGGAGAAATGAGGCGTGCAGGGCTGGCACCTCCCTTCTGGCAGAGGGTGCCAGTGGCTCTAGGGACCAAAAAAATCCTTTTCCATGAAAACCTGGCCTGCCTTTGGAGCTTCCTGGTGGTCACAAAGGTTCTGGAAGCCCAGCAGAACATCTGAGGGAGCAGGGCTGTGGATTCTTTGGGGTTTGGTGGTGGGAGATTCTGCATCCCCCCATTTCCAGCTGCTCCAGGAGGAGCAGTTCCTTGTGTTCCAGCTGAGGGGGAGTTTTGGAATGCTGGGAATTCCTGGATACCCCGCTGGACTGACCCTCTGCTCCTCTCCCATGGGTGTGCTGCTCATCTGGGGGCTGTTCCAGCTGAACTCCCCCAAAATTGGGGTTCAGAGCTTGAGCCTGGCTCGTGCCTTGTCCTGTTCCAGCTGAACTGCCCCAAAATTGGGGTTCAGAGCTTGAGCCTGGCTCGTGCCTTGTCCTGTTCCAGCTGAACTCCCCCAAAATTGGTGTTCAGAGTTTGAGCCTGGCTCATACCTTGTCCTGTTCCAGCTGAACTGCCCCAAAATTGGGGTTCAGAGCTTGAGCCTGGCTCGTGCCTTGTCCTGTTCCAGCTGAACTGCCCCAAAATTGGGGTTCAGAGCTTGAGCCTGGCCATGCCTTGCCCAGCTGGCAGGATCTGCTGGATCCATGCAGAAATGCTGCTGATTTCCTGCTAAGAGCATTTTGTGTTCCCTTTGTGCACCTCTGTCACATGAACCCAGGAAAAGCAGATTGTGCTCAGAGAACATAAATAAATAAACCCCAAACAAAAGGCAAACGAGGTCTGAGGGTGTTTGTAGGGTGTCAAACCAGTGATCCCCTGCCAGGATATGCAGAGACCTGGGAAAAATAATTCTGAGTAAAAATCAAGCAAACAACACTGGAGGAGTGCTGGGGCTCTTCCCAAAGCGCATCCAGCAGGACAGAGCTCTTCCCCAGGGGCAGGGAACTGCCTCAACCTGACCCTGGCACTTGTGGTGGTGGTTTTTTCCTGCCCAAACTGCAGCCAGGACAAGCAGGGCGCTCGTGGCTGGCCCTGCACCGCTGCCTTATGCAATGGGGATTAATTGGAGTAGGTGGAGAACAATTTCTTGGCTGCTTATCAGGGGTGAGGCTCCAGGAGCTGCTTGGTGGCTTCAGATAGGTGAGAGGAGCTGGGGGCACTGCCCAGCTCAGGGAAATCATCTCCTCAAGCCCTGATAAACTTCAGCTCCCTCCCTCAGAGCTGCTCCCAGCCCCAGGCCTCTGGCTCAGCAGCAGCCACCCAGGAGATCCTGGATTTGGTTGTTGCTTGGGCTGTTTGTTCTCCAAAATCCTGATTTTTGTTATTGCTTGGGCTGTTTGTTCTCCAAAATCCTGATTTTTGTTGGTCCTTGGGCTCTTTTTCCTCCTAAATCTGGTTTTGGCTATTCCTTAGGCTGCTTGTCCTTCTAAACCCAGGTTTTGGTTATTCCTTGGGCAGTGCGTCCTGATGAATCTTGGATTTGGTTATTGCTTGGGCTGTTTGTTCTCCAAAATCCTGATTTTTGTTGGTCCTTGGGCTCTTTTTCCTCCTAAATCTGGTTTTGGCTATTCCTTAGGCTGCTTGTCCGTCTAAACCCAGGGTTTGGTTATTCCTTGGGCAGTGCGTCCTGATGAATCTTGGATTTGGTTATTGCTTGGGCTGTTTGTTCTCCAAAATCCTGATTTTGCTTATTTCTTTGGTTGTTCATTCTTTTAAATCTGGTTTTGGTTTTTCCTTAGGCTGCTTGTCCGTCTAAACCCAGGTTTTGGTTATTCCTTGGGCAGTTCGTCCTGATGAATCTTGGATTTGGTTATTGCTTGGGCTGTTTGTTCTCCAAAATCCTGATTTTTGTTGTTCCTTGGGCAGTTTGTCCTGTTGAATCCAAGTTTTGGTTGTTGCTTGTGCTTCTAGTTCTATTCAATCCTGATTTTTGTTATTCCTTGGGCTGTTTGTCATCCTAAATCCTGATTTTCATTATTCCTTGGCCTGTTTGTCCTGTTAAATCCAGGTTTTGGTTATTCCTATAGCTGTTTGTCCTCTAAATCCTGATTTTGGTTATTTCTTTGGCTGTTTGTTTTCCTAAATCTGGTTTTGGTTGTTCCTTAGGCTGCTTGTCCCCCTAAACCCAGGTTTTCATTATTCCTTGGGCAGTTTGTCCTCCTAAATCCAGATTTTTGTTATTCCTTAGGCTGTTTGTTCTCCTAAATCCAATTTTGGTTATTATTTGAGCTTTTAGTTCTATTCAATCCTGACTTTTGTAATTCCTTGAATTGTTTTTCTTGATTTTGGTTGTTCTTTGGGTAGTTTGTCCTCTTGAATCCTGCTTTTGGCTACTCCTTGGGTTGCTGAATCCTGGTTTATCTGCTCCTTGGCTGTTAGTCCTGTTGAACCTGGGTTTTGGTTATTCCTTGGGCAGTCAGCCCTGGTTTAATGGGCAGTTAGTCCTGGTTTTATCTGCTCCTTGGCTGTTAGTCCTGTTGAACCTGGGTCTTGCTTATTCCTTGGGCTGTTTGTCCTGTTTTTGGTGAATGCTTGGGCAGTCAGTCCTGGTTTTATCTCCTCCTTGGGCTGCTAGTCATGTTTTACCCAGGTTTTGGTTATTCCTTGGGCTGTTAGTCCTGTTGAACCTGGGTTTTGGTTATTCCTTGGGCAGTCAGTCCTGGTTTTATCTCCTCCTTGGGCTGCTAGTCCTGTTCTACCCACAAGTGATGGGTGGCTGATGCAAACTGCAGCCTGTGTGGGCTCCTCTGGGCTGTGAACCCCTTCAGAGCAGCTCAGATCCACCAAATGAAAAAAGAAATCCTATTTATCCATTCTCATGCAGAGCTGTACCCACCTTGCATCCCTCTGCCATGAAAAGCTGCCCTGTTCCTGACCACGCTGGAGCAGCAGGGTGTCTGTAAATTGATTTTTCTGGGGTGTGTGTGGCCCTGACAGCTACAGAAGGTTCTGTTCCTTCATGGGAGCTGCTGGGGTGAAAGTGGGAAAAACTGGATCATCAATAATGGCTTACTTGGCTTTACTCTCCAAAACCACATTGGTCCTGCACATAAATGTCACCTGCTGCTGCCAGGGGTAAACTGGGATGGGACTGGGATTTTCTCCAGAACATTCCAAAATCCTGAGCAGCCTCCATAGGATGGGAAGGTGCAGAGACCACGAGGGCTTGAATGGACAGCTGGATGTAAAACCTGCTTTTAAATTCTGAGCTGATTCAGTGCATTGCTGCCCTCCCTGGGGGGTTTTCCTGAGTTTTTGGGTTCGTTTGGAGTTCCCAGGGAATGTGGTGCTGTGGAGCAGGGAGCTCTGCACGAGGCTGCCAAATTCCCTGGTGGAGGGTGATGCCATTCATGAGCACCAGCTGATGCTGGAGTCTGAAATCCCAGCCAAATTTTTAGGGTTTTTAAGGTGTATTTACTACAAATTCCATAATTTGGTTGGTCTAGACTTGAGTAAACCCAGCTTGATTTCGTTATTCCGAGTGGAAGTCTTGAACTGAGCTCTGGTCCCTTCCTTGGGCTCATAGAGGGGGTGTGGAGGTGTTTTGGGGTTTGGGGGCTCCAAGGTTCAATCCTTGAAGGTTTTTATGGAAAGCTGAGCTGCTGCGTGGCCTCCTGGCTAATTAATGAAGGGCCTGATGAGCAGGAATTCCCGAGGCTGCCGAGTGCCCCTTGCCCAGGGCCGAGGCCTCCCCGGTGTTGGTGTTTTGGGGCCGAGGCTGCTCCGAGGGGCTGGTTTCGGTGTCATGGACTGGAATTGCAGAATGATGGAATTCCTGAGCTTGGAAAAGCCTTCCAAGGCCATCCAGGCCTGCTGTGGCCATCCCCACCTTGTCCCCAGCCCAGGGCACTGAGGGCCATGTCCAGGCCTTCCTTGGCCACCTCCCCTGCCTGTCTCAGTTTTTAACATTTTCCACAAGGAACACAGGAAGGATCTGTGGGCATTTTGCTGCTCAGGAGTTCCTGGGATGGCTGTGGAGGTTTGAGGTTTTCACCCAGTGCTGATTGGGGTCCTGGGACCCCTCACGTGTTGTCATTGTCACCTCCAGGCCTTTGAGCCCTGCTGCCTGCAGAGCCCTGGAAGGAGCTCCAGGGAATTTTCCTGAGGGGAAATTGTGTAATAAAGTGGTGGCAGTGAGCTTTGGAACAGGTTTGGGTGCCAGGAGCAGGTTTGGGTGCCAGGAGCTCAGCTGGCTTAAAATCTGTGGCAGAAAAAAAATCTTGAGGGACGGAAATGCAGCTGGAATTCCCTGCCAGGCCCTCGGGGGAGAAAACCACCAGGAGCTGAGGGGAAAACAGGGACATGGAACGTCCCAGAGCCTCTGGGGGACACTGGCTCTGCATTTTCTCATTTTCAGGAGAATTCCTGCCAGTTCCCAGTTTTCCCAGCTCACCCTTCTAGGAACTGTCCCAGGCTGCTGGGCAGCTGCAGGAGGGACAAGCTGGGGCAGAGTCAGGGTGTTGAAAGCAGGAGAAAATTACAACCTTCCCTGGATTTCTTCACCCAGCCTCTGGAGCAGCCTCATTCCTTGGGATTTCCAAGGATAAAGCAGAGCAGAGGTTGCACTTCCCTCCAGGATCAGCCCGGGTGTCGCAGTGGGAGCGTGGGCTCCATCCAGCAGGATAAATAAAAAATTAGGATAAATAAGGGACATGCAGGGGCTGAATTGACCCCTCAGTGTGTCGCTACAGGACACAAGACAGCACGATGCAGACACACTGCTGCTCTCAGGCAGGAAAAAGAGCACATTTATTTTCTGACTCCTACATTTATAGATTTCTAAAGGTACAGAGGATTGGAGAGTAAAAGTGCTTCTTCTCCAGGGACCCTGGACAAAATAACAGTCTATCAAGTTTCTCCTCTTCCATGAAAGAATACAAAACAAGAAGTTGTTTACAGAAAGTGTGTGAAAAAGTTTCATACAAAAATACAAACATCAGAAGGCTTAGAAAATCTTAAAAAATCAGGGCGACATCAGTGATCTTGGAATTCTGGTGGCTCTGAGCCCTGGCTTTGTGGCGTGGGGTGGGTAACCAAGGGCTCTCCCTGGTGTGCTTTGTTGCAGACACGGATGCAGAGCCTGCAGCCGGACCCCAAAGCCCAGTACAGGGGCGTGTACGAAGCTCTCAAGAAGATGGTGCTGACCGAGGGGTTTTGGAGGCCTTTGCGTGGGATTGATGTCACCATGCTGGGGGCTGGCCCTGCCCACGCCTTGTACTTCGCCTGCTACGAGAAAATGAAAAAGTCTCTCAGTGATATTTTCCATCCAGGAGGAAACAGCCACCTGGCCAATGGTAATTTTGGGGTTTGCCCTAAAGAAAACCCAAAACATTTGTGGTTATCAACCTATCCCTTGCTTGCTTCTCACTCAGCCTGGTCCCCCTCCCAATCTAAACTCTATTTAATCTTAAATTATTCCAGCATAATTCATCAATTTAGTGGGCAAAAGGTGTTCAGGTGCAGCTGTGCTGTTCCTATAATGCCATGGAATCCTTAAAGTTGGGAAAGATCTTCAGGATCAAGTCCCACCTTTGAAGGTATCACCTAAAGGTGTGATCTTATGTTGAAGGCATCACCTCAGATTTGAATTCAGGTGTCCCTGAGAGCATGGAGTGCCCTCCATTTTCTGTATGCTTAAATTTTTAGCAGGAATATTTCACTTTTAAACCCAGCAATAGCAGCAGAAAGCCTGGAATTGAGCAGCCAGGGCTTTACCAAAGGGTTTGTGCTGGAGATTCCCATGATTTTTCTGGGAAGTGCTGGTGGGAATCTGCCATGGGGTCACTGAACTCAGAGAAGGGAATAAAATCCCTTCTCCTCGCTGCTCCTTGCTGGGAACACATTCCTGGGTTTGCCTTTCAAGTAGCTACAGGCCTGTGGTGCCAGCAGGAAAATCAGAGCTGTGGCTTCATGAGAAATGACCAAAAGTCATCTGGGCAAGAGGGAATTGGAGGTGGGAGCCAACATCAAAGGGAAGGAGTGGCTGCAGAGCCTCATCCCAGAGCCGAGCGCGGGATGGGTCAGGGCTGGCTGGGTTTGGCACAACCTGGGCACTGAGGCTTGGAAAGCAGGCTGAGTAAAGGGATGAAAATCCCTAATTAGGGCTGTGCTGAGGGGAGGGTAAACATTGCTCACTGCTCGCTCAGGCGCCGCGGGTGTCTGGGGCCGGCGGATCCTTGGGAATCGTTGGGAAGAGCAAAGGTGGGGGCTGGGAGAGGATCCGGGGTTCTCTCAGGATGGGGTTCCTGCCCTGGGAATCTGTGTTGTGCACCTGGGTGCTCCTTCAGCATGGATGGGATCCACCATGGATGGGATTCCTCCATGGATGGAGCCCCCTGTGGATGGATCCCCATGCATGGGATCCACCATGGATGGTGTTCCCCAGTGGATGGATTCCCCATGGATAGGAACCCCCCATTGATGGAGCCCCTTCTGGATGGGGTCCCCATGGATGGATTCCCCATTGATAGGAGCCCCTCAGGGATGGGATTCCCCAGGGATGGGAGCCCCCCATGGGTGGGATCCCTGTGGATGGATTCCCATGGATAGGAGCCCACCATGAATGGGATCCCCATGGATGGAGCTCCCCCCTGGATGAGATTCCTCCATGGATAGAGCCCCCTATGAATGGATCCCCCTGGATGGGATTCCCCATGGGTGGGATCCCCCTGGATAGATTCCCACAAATGTGATCCCCCTGGATGGATTCCCATGGATGGATTCCCCATTTATAGTATCCCCCTGGATGGATTCCCATGGATGGAATCCCCCCAAATGGATTCCCCTGGATGGATTCCCTATTTATGGTATCCCCTGGATGGATTCCCATGGATAGAATGCCCCCAAGTGGATTCCCATGGATGGGATCCCCCTGGATGGATCTGCCTGGGTGGATCCCCCTGGATGGATGGATGGATGGATGGATTCCCATGGATGGATCCCCCTGGATGGATCTGCCTGGATGGATCCCCCTGGATGGATGGATGGATTCCCATGGATGGATCCCCCTGGGTGGCAGTGATGCCTTTTGAGCCGGCTTTTGTTTTCTCAGGGCTGCTTTTCCTTGCAGGCATCGCTGGGAGCGTGGCCACGCTGCTGCACGACGCCGTGATGAATCCTGCTGAAGGTAATCCTGGCCTTCTGGGAAGTGCTGCTCCCTCTAGGACACCCAGGACCTTCCCTGCCCAGTGAATCCAGGCCTAAATCCCTCCTGGCTCTTCTCCCTCTGCCCCTTGGCAAGAGTGGGAAGAAATCCAGGGCTGCCCCCAGCTGGGAGAGCTCCAAAACCACCAAAGCCAGGGACTCATTCCCTGTCCTTGGGAGGAGAGGGAGAGCTGCCAGGAGGGATTTATCCCTGCATCTCTGTGGTGCACTGGGACTTTCCAGGGGAGGTGTCTCCTTTACTGGTGTCACCTTTACTGTCACCACTCTGCTTGGGGCAGTGGCTCTGGTTTTCCTGAAGCTTTGGACTAACCAGGCTGAGCTCAGGTTGTTGGATGAGCACACGGAGGGGCTGTGAGATTCCTGGGGAGGTGGAGTGGCAGGAGAAGGCCTCAGGACAATGAGGATTAACAGGAAAATGCAGCTCAAATGACAATGCTGCCACCTGCCAGCTCCTCGGCGTCACTGGGCTGTGCTGCTGAGTGCGCCCAGAGCTGGGAATCTGTGAAGGAGAAACCTCCAGTGTATCAAATCCTTTTAGTCATACCCTGATTGAATCAATTAAATAAATTGGCCTCGTTAGTCAGTGGAAGTCACTGCAGGCAGTGAGGCTGGAGCGGGGTGTGACACCCCCAGGTGATGCTCAGGTGTGGCTTCACCTCCTGCCCTCATGGCTGCTGGCTGTTTGTGCGTCCCCACCGAGGGTGCTGAGCAGCCTGCCTTAATGGGGAGAGCTGAGGGTCGTTAATTAACCCTGAGGAGAGGGGCTCATTAGAACTGGTGGGTCATTAATTAACCCTGAGGAGTTCATTAGAACTAAAGAGTCATTAATTAACCCTGAGGAGAGGGGTTCATTAGGAAGTGAGCTCTGAGCTGTCCCCTCACTGTGCTGAGCTCTGGGGGCACTGGGCACCTCAGGGGGATCAGTTTGGGTGGGGAAGGGGAGATCAGGGCTGGGCCTGGGGTCACTCTGGGGGCTGTCAGGCCTGACCCCACAGCTGAGTGTGTCCCTGTCCCCATTCCTGTCCTGAGCTCTGGGGGTGCTCAGGGGGTTTGGGTGGGGAAGGGGAGCTCGGGGCTGTGCCAGCCAGGCCTGACCCCGCGCTGAGTGTGTCCCTGTCCCCACGCTGTCCTGAATTCTGGGGGTGCTCAGGGGGTTTGGTTTGGGTGGGGGAGCTCGGGGCTGTGCCAGCCAGGCCCGGCCCCGCGCTGAGCGTGTCCCTGTCCCCACGCTGTCCCCGAGCAGTGGTGAAGCAGCGGCTGCAGATGTTCAACTCCCCGTACACGTCGGTGCTGAGCTGCGTGCGGACGGTGCAGAGGACTGAGGGCTTTGGAGCCTTCTACCGCAGCTACACCACGCAGCTGACCATGAACGTGCCCTTCCAGGCCATCCACTTCATCACCTACGAGCTGATGCAGGAGCACCTGAACCCCCACCGCCAGTACCAGCCCCAGTCCCACATCGTGGCCGGCGCCGTGGCCGGGGCCGTGGCCGCCGCCGCCACCACGCCCCTGGACGTGTGCAAGACGCTGCTGAACACGCAGGAGAACACGGCCCTGAGCTCCCTCAAGATCAGGGGGCACCTGTCGGGCATGGCCAACGCCTTCAGCACCGTTTACCAGCTGGGAGGGCTGCCCGGCTTCTTCAAAGGCGTCCAGGCTCGCGTCATTTACCAGATGCCCTCCACGGCCATCTCCTGGTCCGTGTATGAGTTCTTCAAGTACTTCCTGACCAAGCACGCGCTGGAGAAGAAACCGTCCTCGTGAGACGGGAGCGGGAGTCCCCTGGGGCTCCTCCTGCAGCCCAGCTGCAATTCTGCTGCCTTCACATCTCCACGTCTCCCTGCCTGAGATTCCCGTGGTGCTCGGTCACTGAGTGCCCCGGGGTTCCAGGGATCCCTGTCACTGAGTGTGTCCTTGTCACTGAGTGTCCCAGGGATCCCTGTCACTGAGTGTGTCCCTGTCATTGAGTGCCCCCAGGGATTCTGGGGATTCTTGGTCACTGAGTGCCCCAGGGATTCCTGGTCACTGTGTCCCCCTGTCACTGAGTGTCCCCAGGGATTCCTGGTCACTGGGTGTCCCCAGTGGTTCTGGGGATCCCTGTTACCGAGTGTCTCCCTGTCACTGAGTGCCCCAGGGGTCCCAGGAATTCCTGGTCACTGAGTGTCCCTGGGGATTCCCATGGTGCTTCCCAGGGATTCCCTGTCACCCAGTGTGTCCCTGTCACTGGGGGTCCCCAGGGATTGTGGGGATTCTTGGTCACTGAGTGCCCCAGGGGTCCCAGGAATTCCTGGTCCCTGGGGCTTCCCATGGTGCTTCCCAGGGATTCCCTGTCACCCAGTGTGTCCCTGTCACTGGGGGTCCCCAGGGATTGTGGGGATTCCTGCTCACTGGGTGTCCCCAGGGATTCCCTGTCACTCAGTGTGTCCCTGTCACTGGGTGTCCCCAGGGATTGTGGGGATTCTTGGTCACTGGGTGTCCCTGGGGGTTCTCCTGGTGCTCCCCCAGGATTCCCAGTCACGGGATGTCCCCAGGGATTCCCAGTCACTCAGTATCCCTGGGGATTCCTGGTCACTGGGTGTCCCCAGGGATTCCTGGTCACTGGGTGTCCCCAGGGAGTTGTGTGGTGCTCCTCAGGGATTCCTGGTCACTCCATGTTGCCTTGTCACCAAGTGTCCCTGGGGATTCCTGGTCACTCAGTGTCCCCAGGGGTTCCTGTGGTGTTCCTCGGAGATTCCTGGTCACTCAGTGTCCCCCTGTCACCAAGTGTCCCCAGGGATTCCCGGTCACTCAGTGTCCCCTGTGATTCCTGGTCACTGGGTGTCCCCAAGGATTCCTGGTCACTGGGTGTCCCCAGGGAGTTGTGTGGTGCTCCTCAGGGATTCCTGGTCACTCCATGTTGCCTTGTCACCAAGTGTCCCTGGGGATTCCTGGTCACTCAGTGTCGCCAGGGATTCCCATGGTGCTCCCCAGGGGTTCCTGGTCACTCAGTGTCCCCAGGGGTTCCCATGGTGCTCCCCAGGGGTTCCTGTGGTGTTCCTCAGAGATTCCTGGTCACTCAGTGTCCCCAGGGGTTCCTGTGGTGTTCCCCAGGGATTCCTGGTCACTCAGTGTCCCCCTGTCACCAAGTGTCCCCAGGGATTCCTGGTCACTGAGTGCCTCTTTCCCTTCCTTAAACAACAACAAAAGAAGAGTTTATACAGACTTTGATATTAATATATATCTATTTAATAACTTTATTTTGAAGCAGTGAAATCGCAAGCTTCTCTTTTTCTGGAAATAAGATGGAAGATGGAGTTTACTCCTTGCTGAAGGTTTAGGTTATCCAACCTAAGCTGATTTTTTTTTGTTTTTATTTTTTTTTTATTTTTACAGCAGAGAAACAAAAATGTCCTGGCACAGAAGTTAATTTTATATAAATATAAAATAGCTGGATAATGTTTATCCTTTATTTTTCTATGTAGGCAGTTGGGTGGTTTTAAAATGCTTTTACAGCTGGGTGCAAAGCTGTTTTAAAAGGGCTCAGTTCTTCCCTCTGGTAAGGAAGACCCCAAATCACTGATTTTATGGCCAGATTGGCTTTAATTACCCAGCTTCTCCTCTGGGTGTCAAGGTACTTGGAAGCCCCTTGAGGGGACAAGGAATGGGGACACCACTTTGGGAACACGTGGGGCATCCCAAAATCCCTTTGTGGGGGAGAGGGGGAAATCTCAATTCCATTTTTTTACAACTCTTGAAGATGTAGATTTTTAACCAATGTTATTCTTTTACAATTTAAACTTGCTAAAGGTACATTCTTACGGGGTGGGACAGCTGACCAGCCTTCATCCTGGCAGAGTTTGTTCCTACTTTTTCCTCTCTGGAGCCCTGATCCCATTCCAGGAGCTCTCCTGGGATCCCAGGGGGAGCCTGGAGCTGCTCTGCTCCCAGGACAGGGAGATCCTGGAGCTGCTGTTTACAGAGCCCCTGGCAGCTCCAAACCAGCCCCAAATCCTTGGGAAAATCCCAGTGCAGCTCCAAAGGCTCCTCCCAGCCCTCACTGCTGCTCATCCCTGTCCAGGAGGGACAAAAACCGACCTGGAGGGACAAAAACCCCACCTGGAGGGGGAAATCCCCACCTGGAGAAGCTCCTCATTCCCTGGGATTGGTTTTCCTGCTTGGAATGTTGAGTGGGAAGGGTGGAAGCCTCCCTGCTCCAGCTGGGAATGGTTTTCCAAACCAAATTCCATCCTCAGCTGCTCCTGTGGGAGATCCCGAGGGATTTTTGGGATGCTGGATGTGCCAATTCAAGTTCTAGGGTCCATTTCCTATTTGGGAATGGCCCTTCCCAAACCAAAATCCATCATTCCAGCTGCTCTCTTGGGAGATCAGGAGGGATTTTGGGAACCTGGATGTGCCAATTCAAATTCCAGGCTCCATTACCCTTTTGGGAATGGCTCTTCCCAAACCAAATTCCATCCTTCAGCTGCTCCCTCGGGAGATCAGGAGGGATTTTGGGAACCTGGTTGTGCCACTTCAAATTCCAGGCTCCATTACCCTTTTGGGAATGGCTCTTCCCAAACCAAATTCCATCCTTCAGCTGCTCCCTCGGGAGATCAGGAGGGATTTTGGGATCCTGGATGTGCAAATTTGAGTATCAAGGTCCATTTCCCATTTGGGAATGACTTTTCCAAACCAAATTCCATCCTTCAGCTGCTCCTTTGGGAGATCAGGAGGGATTTTTGGGATCCTGGATGTGCAAATTTGAGAAACAGGGTCCATTTCCCATTTGGGAATGGCTTTTCCAAACCAAATTCCATCCTTCAGCTGCTCCTTTGGGAGATCAGGAGGGATTTTGGGAACCTGGATGTGCCAATTCCAGTTCCAGGCTCCATTTCCCATTTGAATCCAGGGATCAATTCCATCCTTCCCAACCCAAATTCCATCCTTCAGCTGCTCCTTTGGGAGATCAGGAGGGATTTTGGGAACCTGGATGTGCCAATTCCAGTTCCAGGCTCCATGTCCCAATGGGAATTGCCCTTCCCAACCCAAATTCCATCTTCAGCTGCTCCTGTGGGAGATCAGCAGCCAGGGAGGGATTTTTGGGATGCAGTTCCAGGGATGTCCCTTGGCATCTCTGGGGCTGGAATGTGGCCCTGGAGCTGTCCCATCAGCCAGGTCTGGTTTTTCGGGTGACCCTCAGCAGATCTCATCCTTTTCCCACAATTTTGGAGCTGGAAAATGCAGGATCCCCTCGTGGGAGTGCCACGTGTGCCTTGTGGGAGCGATCCCGGTGTGAAATGAGCTTTTTGTGCCTTTTTTTGTGTCTTAACCTGAATAAATCCCTCCACCAAAGGCTCCCTGTGCCTTAAAGTGGGACAATCCCACTGGATTCTCCTGGATTTGGTGGGACTGGAGGTCTCAGGGCTGAGATTTTTCCTTGAGAAACTGGAGAGTCACTCCCAGAGCCAGAACAGCCAGGAAAATTCCCATGGAGATGGAATTTGGGGAATTCAATGCTGAAATGTGGGATAATGTGGGTGATTGCAGCTTTTGGTGCAGCCTCTGCAATTCCTGCTCCATCCTCCTCTTCTCAGGGATGCTCCTTGGATATTTCTGCCTTGGGAGAAGCTCAGCTCCTCCTTGGAGTAACCTGGGAGTAGGGACACAAAAATGCTGGATATGGGATGTGGGGAAGGGGTTTGGGAGCAAAAATGATCAGCCAAGATCCGTTGGGAATTCGCCCCTCCTCAGGCTGGAGTGGGCAAATCCTTCTGGGAAAAGGGAAATTCCTTCTGGGAAAAGGGAAATCCCTTTTGGAAGGAGGAAAATCCATTCTGGGGAAAGGAAAATCCCTTTTGGAAGGAGGAAAATCCATTCTGGGAAATGGAAAATCCCTTTTGGGAGGAGGAAAATCCATTCTGGGAAATGGAAAATCCATTTTGGGAAAAGGAAAATCCTTCTGGGAGGAGGAAAATCCAGGAAAATCCCTTTTGGGAGGAGGAAAATCCATTCTGGGAAAAGGAAAATCTATTCTGGGAAAAGGAAAATCGATTCTGGAAGGAGGAAAATCCATTCTGGGAAAAGGAAAATCTATTCTGGGAAAAGGAAAATCGATTCTGGGAGGAGGAAAATCCATTCTGGGAAATGGAAAATCCCTTTTGGGAATGGAAAATCCCTTTTGGAAGGAGGAAAATCCATTCTGGGAAAAGGAAAATCCCTTTTGGAAGGAGGAAAATCCATTCTGGGGAAAGGAAAATCCCTTTTGGGAGGAGGAAAATCCATTCTGGGAAATGGAAAATCCCTTTTGGGAATGGAAAATCCCTTTTGGAAGGAGGAAAATCCATTCTGGGAAAAGGAAAATCCATTTTGGGAAAAGGAAAATCCTTCTGGGAGGAGGAAAATCCACTTGGATCCCAACAAAACCAGCCCAGTTCTCATCATTCCTGAGTCTCACCTGCAGCAGGAATATTTCCAATTTTCCAGCTGCTGGTGCTGGATCTGCTGGGAAAATCCCTTCCCAAATCCCCTTCCCCATCCCCGAAATCCCTGCCAAGTTTGCCTTTGGAAGTTGTGCTGCAATTCTGAGCTGAAATCCTTGATTTTAGCCCAGTCTCTGACCCGATTCCGCCGCAAACGCACAAAGTTCTTTAAGGGAGGATGAGGAACTTTCCCAGTTCTCAATCCTTTTTTTTTTTCCTTTGGATTTTTTGCCTTGGCAAAAATAAAATAAAATTAAAAAAATAAATATTTAAAAAAAATTTGTTTTCTTCAGTGTTTACCAATGCAGGATCCGGGTCTGAAATGCTGCTACAGTTGTGTCACTGGAGCTGGAGGAAATAAAAAATCCTGATTTGTTTTGTCCTTGTGCCTTGGCAAAAATAAAATAAAATTTAAAAAATAAATATTTAAAAAAATTTGTTTTCTTCAGTGTTTACCAATGCAGGATCCGGGTCTGAAATGCTGCTACAGTTGTGTCACTGGAGCTCGAGGAAATAAAAAAT